CTCCGATAATGCTTCTTGCTTGCTTGAATGGAGGACAGAGAGGGTTGCATTAATGGGTGTTGATGCGGGACAGGGCATTCACTACAGTAGCACCAAAGTTACAAAGCTCCCTCCATAGCGATGTCCACCATGCTTGTTACTGACTGTTAGATACCATAGTAATGTGGATTTTTTTTCATGGGTCTTTTGGGTTGCCAGTAACCTTCTCTCTCCTCCCCCATTCTGATTAATGTGGCTACTAATTAGAAGTTTTAAAAAATTGTTACATGTTTTATACAATTTTGTGAATAAAAATTTGTGTATATTCCAGTACTCACAATGAAGTCATTACAGTAAGTGGCACATTTTAACATTTTGGGGGGGGGGGGGGAGGCACTGATTATACTGCTCCCAATATTTTTCTTCTCACCAAATTACCCTTTCCATTCATTATCTTGTGCAGAGAGAGAATTTCTATAATTCCCACCCACCACAGGGAAGTACATGTGCTCTTGATGTCAGTACACAGCTCAAATGTTCCGCAAAAGGCACCCAAAGTGCATTTTAAAAAAAACGGGGGGGGGGGGACGCCTTCATTAGGTCGCTCAGTGCCCTTCTCCAGCTTCTTCAGGCTGGAGCTGAATCTGATGTGCTACATACAAAATCCTCTGAAATCTGATTAGCAAAGAGAGCATGTTGGCTCTCTGTGCAAATGGGGTCATTTCTAACAAGCTGTTAGCACACTTTGCAGCTGCAATATAATCTAGCATTAAACGCCGGGGGTTGTGGACCATGTGTTGTAATGTCTCACACAGACAATATTTCTGCTTCATCTGTTGTTCTTGAACTTCAGCAGAATTACGACCTTCAGGCCTCAGGTTTAGTATTTAAAAGCGTTATGTGTACTGTTTGCAGTTTTTACTTTTTCAGCTGAGTACAGTGGTACCTAGGGTTACATACGCTTCAGGTTACATATGCTTCAGGTTACAGACTCTGCTAACCCAGAAATAGTACCTCAGGTTAAGAACTTTGCTTCAGGATGAGAACAGAAATTCTGTGGTGGCGGCGCAGCGGCAGCGGGAGACCCCATTAGCTAAAGTGGTACCTCAGGTTAAGAACAGTTTCAGCTTAAGAACGGGCCTCCAGAACGAATTAAGTACTTAACCCAAGGTACCACTGTATTAGTTTTCCCAATATAATGCCAGTGCTTCTGTTCCATTTTCTAATGTTCCTTTCACACTGCAGTACCTGTTATAATTACAGTGGTACCTTGGGTTACAGATGCTTCAGGTTACATATGCTTCAGGTTACAGACTCCGCTAACCCAGAAATAGTACCTCAGGTTAAGAACTTTGCTTCAAGATGAGAATAGAAATCATGCAGCGGTGGCGCGGCGGCAGCAGGGGGCCCCATTAGCTAAAGTGGTGCTTCAGGTTGAGAACAATTTCAGGTTAAGAACGGACCTCAGGAATGAATTAAGTACTTAACCTGAGGTACCACTGTACTTATGTTTAAACCAGCAGCGTAGTGTCGGTTGTCAGTGCTCAGGGCGGGCACATGTGTGCGTGCCGGGCAGGGTGCGTGTGTGCGTGTGTGCACACACCGGGCGGGGGGCACCAGTCCCTCCGGTGCCACTGAAGCTGCATCATTAAGTGACCCCACTCCCACCAGAGCAAAGCAAGGCCTCCTTAAGCTGCCTGCCACCCGCACAGAAGCCCAGCCAACTGACAAAGCTCTAGGCGGGCGGATAGGAGCACCAGGCTGGGCCTCACTGTGGTTGCCTGTGTGGGGGCGTTTGGTTCACACACACCCCACAAAAAATGTGTGCCTGGGACCACGGCCTCCCTAGCACATGCTTCTTTCTCCCCTGATTTTAACTGCTGTTTGGTGGACACTCAATAGAGAAAGCTTACACATAACTGGGAATCCCAGGCCCATAGGGGTGCTTCAGAGTAGGTGAGTGTTGAGCAGGGGTCAGCAACCTAAGGCCCATGGGCTGGAAGCGGCCCACAGAGATCATAGAATCATAGAATCATAGAGTTGGAAGAGACCACAAGGGTCATCGAGTCCAACCCCCTGCCAAGCAGGAAACACCATCAGAGCACTCCTGACATATGGTTGTCAAGCCTCTGCTTAAAGACCTCCAAAGAAGGAGACTCCACCACACTCCTTGGCAGCAAATTCCACTGTCAAACAGCTCTTACTGTCAGGAAGTTCTTCCTAATGTTGAGGTGGAATCTTCTTTCTTGTAGTTTGGATCCATTGCTCCGTGTCCGCTTCTCTGGAGCAGCAGAAAACAACCTTTCTCCCTCCTCTATGTGACATCCTTTTATATATTTGAACATGGCTATCATATCACCCCTTAACCTCCTCTTCTCCAGGCTAAACATGCCCAGCTAACTTAGCCGTTCCTCATAAGGCATCGTTTCCAGGCCTTTGACCATTTTGGTTGCCCTCCTCTGGACACGTTCCAGTTTGTCAGTGTCCTTCTTGAACTGTGGTGCCCAGAACTGGACACAGTACTCCAGGTGAGGTCTGACCAGAGCAGAATACAGTGGCACTATTACTTCCCTTGATCTAGATGCTATACTCCTATTGATGCAGCCCAGAATTGCATTGGCTTTTTTAGCTGCCGCGTCACACTGTTGGCTCATGTCAAGTTTGTGGTCAACCAAGACTCCTAGATCCTTTTCACATGTACTGCTCTCAAGCCAGGTGTCACCCATCTTGTATTTGTGCCTCTCATTTTTTTGCCCAAGTGCAATACTTTACATTTCTCCCTGTTAAAATTCATCTTGTTTGTTTTTGCCCAGTTCTCTAATCTGTCAAGGTCGTTTTGAAGTGTGATCCTGTCCTCTGGGGTGTTAGCCAGTCGTTTGACCGGCCTACGAGTCGCCTCCAAACTGAGCTGTCCGCTTGTGTACTGCGCTAAACCAGCGTAGCGCGGCATGGGGACTCACTTCTGCGGCGCCTGAAATTGCTTCTGCACATGTGCGCAATCTGGTCCATGGAGGAATCTCTGTGGGACCAATCCAGCCCAGGCAAGATAAACCTTGCTGACCCCTGGTGTTGAGTTTCCCTATAGTTTTCCCAAGGGGGGTGGGGAGGTGAACTTCAGAGCAGACATGTATGGAATTGCACTATTTACAAATTAGTATCTCGCAGGCATTTAACACCAGCATGGTTTAGGCTACATCCAGCTATGGCTTCCCCCCAAGAATCCTGAGAGCTGTATAGTTTGTTGAGGGAGAGGAGAGTTTAAGTGACCTCTATTCCCCCGCCTCCAGCTACATTTTCATAGTTCCCTTTGCAGATGGATTGTTAAACCACTCTGAAATCTGTAGCTCTCTGTGGAAACTAGGGGTCTCCTCTAACTCTCAGCACTCTTTACACACTGCATTTCCCAGGGTTCTTAGTGGGAAACCATGACTTTTAAAAGTGGTATGACACTGCTTTCTGGTTGTGTTTGAAGAGATCAATATTTTGGACAATTGTAATAAATGAAGTTAAACTTACAATAGGATATGAATTTCCAGTAGAACATTAGCTATATTATTTGGATATGGTTTAACGAGTAGACACAAAATTAAAAATAAATTTGGGAACAGCTGCTTGTATTACAATCCGCTATGTTTGGGGAAAATGTATTCCGGCATTAGAAGATGGGATAGTAAGATTATGGGAACTGGCCGATATGGTGAAATCAACTCATATTGTAAGAGTGAAGGATGGAAGACAAGCAGATAATTTATTTATTGAAAAATGGAAGTTTTGTTATGTACTGGTGCAATAAGACGCAAGAAAGTTTTCAACCATATATAGGGTTGTAAGCAGTTCAATGAACAAGCAATACACTTTTACATATCCTCCAATATTTCTCTGATGAAAATAGGGACGTCACATTCCATAATGATAATTTTACTATTTATACCCCACACATCTTACTGGATTGCCCCAGCCACTCTGGCCAGCTTCCAACATATATAAAAACATAATAAAACGTTAAACGTTAAAAAACAACACTTCCCTATATAGGATTGCCTTCAGACACCTTGGGAGTCAAATAACTCCATACCCTTCAACATTTCTCCCATGAAATGAGACATCCTAAGCTTCTCTAAATCAGGGATGTCCCTGGAAAATAGGGACACTTGGAGGGTCTCCTTTTAGGGTTGTATCTGGCTAAGTTCTACTCAGAGTAGCCACATCAAAAATTAATGGACATGAGTAACTTAGATACATTAATTGAAATGGGTCCTTTCTTAAGGGAAACTTGAACTGAATACATGGTTTCTTGTTTTTGTGATTGCTGCTGTATTAAACATCAATGAAGCATTCTTATACCGATTTTGCACCTATATAAAGCAATCAAATTTCTATTTTTTTTAAAGTGTAGAAGAAAACAAATCATAAAGTAATAATTAAATATTGTGTTGTATAGCATAGTTTTGACCCTAGCACCTCTCTCACTTGCCTAGGGAGGGTATTTCATTAATGGGGCCACCCATTTTTAAGGCTTTTTTGTTTTGTTTTAACAATAAAGCAACATATGAATTTCATGAAATAGATAAATGCGTTTCCTCGTTCATCAAAATCTCTCTTCTGAATTACTACACTGAATCTGGAACATACACCCTGTACATACAATCATCTGGAACATATATGTTAGTGTATTTATTTCTATGTAAACACCGCTTGATCGTAACGTGGAAGCCAAGACGCTGTAACCAGGAGGTGAAATGCGCTGTGGCAAAGTCCTGTGGGCTGAGCACCATTTGTTATCTCCTCACGTGAGACAGCTGAGTATTCTTAAAGCCTGGCAGAGGGTGGAGGAGGGGAAGGACGGACACTCGCGCCTGCGCACTGCAGTCGAGCAATGTTTTGATCTGTGTGCGTGTGGTGAAGGTATACAGTAGCATAACAAAGAGGGAGGAGCAACAGCAGTAAGCGCCGCCCACAAGCGAGAGGCAAAGCCGGCGGCAAGGGAACGGCAGGTTGGCGCGCGCAACGCCGGGAGGCGGAGTTTAAAAGACTAAAACACGAGCGTGCGCAGTGAGGACTTTCGCGGGTGAGGCGTGAGATGAATTGACGCACGCTACGTGACAACATGGAGAAGGAAAACCATAGAGCGCAGAGATAATTGAAACCCGGCTTTCTTGCTTGGGCGGCTTCTTCGTCAAAGAAGCTTCTCCTGTTAATTTTAATTCTCAGTTCGAAGGGGCGCGTAAAGAAAAAAAAATTGATGTCAGGTGAAGGTGGCTGGGTGCACTGCTCCTCACGACGTGGCGGCTAGTGCGTTGCAGCGCTTGCCAGGTCGCGCCGGAGGTGACGTCAACGCGCGCCGGAAACGAGGATGAACAACACTGGCCAATCCCTCCTTGGTTTTTTTCTTTTTGTTTTTTTGAGGAACTAAATCCTGGCACTGCCCCTTCCGCTGACTTCCCCGTCAGGTGACCCGCGTCGCTGGCTGAGGGGTCCGTGCCGGTCCTTGCCTGAGGGGAGTTGCGAGAGGGGCGGCAGCGGCCTGGTCGTGAAGAGGGAGAGCCGACCTGAGCCAGTAGAGCTGCCGGCAGGAGCTGCCGGAGAGCGCCGCGACCGCCGCTAGCCGAGCCGACCGCCGCACCGCCATGGCCAGCCAGTCGCAGGGCATCCAGCAGCTGCTGCAGGCCGAGAAGAGGGCAGCCGAGAAGGTGGCCGAGGCCCGGAAGAGTGAGTGGGCGGGCCGGGAGTAGGAGGCGGGGGTGGCTTAGTACTCTGGATGCAGTTTTATTCATTTTTATTTATTCACTCACTCATTTGTATTTGTTTTTAAATATATCTTTGCGTTTGTTGTCATTTATTCAATTATTCTTTATTATTTCATATTTCTTTAACCATTCTTAAATGATGTGTTTCTATTTACTTATTCGTATTTCGTTAATTTTATTCATTAATGCATTCGTATTTATTCTCATTTCGTTATTTTTATTTATTCGCTTTAAATGTTTGTTTGTGTTTATGCTTATTCATTCGTATTTATTCATGGACAGGAATTTAAAAATGCAGGCTGAGACAACTATTCTAAAGCACTGAACAAATGGCTGACACTGAATCAAATTATCGTGGTTATCAATCCAAAGTGCTGGTTTTGACTGTGTGAGCCAAAAAATAATTTTCAGCTGTGGTGTCCTACCTTTGGAACTCTCTGCTCAGCAAAGCTTGTCTGGCACCTCCTATATTTTTGGCACAATGCAAAGACACTTTTCAGTTCACTCAAACTTTTCAGGAATTTTTGTTTACCTAATTCTCATTATGTTATGTTGCATAAAAGTTGTTATCCTGACAACAGTTCTGGATGGCAAGGCAAGACTTCTTATTCCCCAATATTTTGCAGATAAGCTCATAAGTTGCTAACCTTCAGTATTTTATTACTAGCCTATTAAGAGAATACTAGCCTATTTCCTTGCTAGCCATGGAGGAGGGAAAACCCCATGCTCTGTGGTCAGCATGAAAAGGCAGGCAGGCAGAGGTGTGATGGAGCTGAGGCACAGGCTTTCCTTCTTCCACAGCTAGTACTGTAAGTAAGCAAATTATGGTGACCAGGAAAGTTTTTATAATGTTATTGGTCTAAGTCAGTATTGCCTCACTGGCTGCAAGCAGCTCTCCAGAGTTTTTGGCAGAGGATCTGAAATGGCAGGGATTGAAGCTGGGATCTGCTGTCAGTAAGAACTGTCATCCCTCCCTCAGTGGAGGCAAGGCTGCAACTTTACAGTGGTTGTATGGAAAGCCCAGTAGTGAAAATGGCAGAGAAAAGTACTTATTGTTTCAAGGTTGAAAGGGTTAGCAATGAATAGCCTGTGTTTAACATTTGTATTTATGCAGCAGTGTGCAAGGATAAAATGACAAGGGGAGGCCCAAAGCACATCTGTGAGGTGGCTTGGGACTTAAAGGAAGGGTGAGGTGAGGTAACTGTTTCTTTGTTGTGCTGAGAGGTAGCTTAGGTTGCTGGGACACATGAGAATAGTGTGGCTTGGAAGGAGATCATAAGATGAAGCTTCCTTATGTATAGTTGGCTCTGGTCATTGTGAGCAACAGAGGTTCTACAAAATACTTTCTCAGATCAGATCTCCCAGAATCTGTTTGACGTCCACATTGTGGTAATGGTTTCATAATAAACATTATGAAACATATATCACAAATCACAATGTGTACGCACAGTAATTACAAAATCACAACGTGGGGAAAACTGAAGCTGGTCATCACTTCTCTCATGATTCTTGCCACCCCTGTTGCTCTGCTGCCTCTTCTCTTCCCTGCAGGGGACAGCGGACCACAAGAGCAAGCACTGAAGAAAGTCCTGGCAACTTTCCTCAGTAATATAAACTCCATGAACTGCTTGTTTTAAGTGCAGGTGCCAGGTTGGTAGGTGGTTGAGGAATACACTGGTCCAAACTGGCTCCAGGCTTCTTGCTGGGAACCCCTTTTGAAGGGTTGCTGCCCTCAAATGGGCTTGCTTGGATGCTGTTGCTGGGAGCATCGAAAAATAAATGGCAGTAAATTACTTCTGAGTTTTAAAAACATAAAAATAAACTTTGCCCTCTTGTTTAAGCCTCTTTCCTCGCTTCTTCCCTTCTGTATCCCTTTGGTATTCCTGCTACTTATTCCTACAGCATTAACATTTGAGAAAATGTGCTAAATGTACTATAAAATAACAGTTGCAACAATATATTAAAGGTAAAAATTTTTTTTGTAAGTTTTGGACCTCTAAGTAGTAGCAGTTGCTAGGACCTTACCCTGTTTGCCTCTTCAGGCAGTCCTCTTTTTGTGCAGGGGTTACATTCTGGACCCCCACGCATCAGTGGAGCCCCCGTAAAGTGTCCCCATTTAACAACTTTTTGGATCACTTCTGGATTTCACAGTATGCGCAATCATGTATCAACCAGAAACACGTGCATTGGTCATTGCTTGCACATAGTTCCATCCTTATTTCAGACATTGTGATATATCAGTATATCATGATGTTTAGCTGGTGACATATCATGATGTTGAAAACCAGGCATCGCCCAACCCTAGTTGCAGCCCTTTTCATTTTTAAACTATGTTTATGTAGAATACTCATAAGCTGGAAGCCTAATTAGTGCTTGCCTGGTTTGGAAAGGAGTGAAGGGCTCTAGGACCCCACCAGAGCCCTGGGGCTTTCTTCCCAGAGCAGTCCCGGCAGTTCTCCTGCACAGGGCAGAGGTGGTACAAAATTAATAAGATCCATAATTGAGAAGATCTATGTGCGGGCGCCAGATGCTGGCTTCACACAGGCGCCATTTTATGAAAGATTACAAAGTCCGTCCATTTTGTCTGACTGGTAGGGCAGTGGGATGCTGCCAGAGCTCAGGCACCAGAAGCCTATTAATTGCCCAGCTTTCAGAAGGAGGGAAGGGCTCTAGGACCCTGCCAGAACCCTGAATTTTCCTTCCCAGAGCCAGAGCGCTACTAGCAGTTTCTCTGCACCGGCGCTGAGCTGAGTTGGCGCATAATTGAGAAAATCCACTTGGGGCGTCAACCTTGCAAAGGCACCATTTTATGAAAGATTACTGGTTCGTCCATTTTGTCTGACTTTTGGAGGGCGGTGCAAGGGCTCTGGGATGCTGCCAGACCTGTGGCACCACCCAGGTAAACCTTATGCGAGATCACAGCTTAGTATGTGTAGACTAGGGTTATTTACTTGGGAGTTAAAAAGAAATAAAAATTTCCTTCTCCCCTTCTCTGTGTCCATGTTTCTGTGGCTCTCTCATGTCTGTGTTTCCCCTGCCTCGTTATGTCCCCCATTTCCTCCTCCTTACTCACGAAGTCTCCCCAATGCTTCCGTCGCCCCTTTGCTTTCTTACACATTTGTCTCCTCCAGCCCTATGCTTCCTTATGTGCCTTTTCCCTCTTCACTTTTCTTCTGTCCCACTCCACCCCTACCAGTGAAAATAGGGGGGGGGGAGTGTTTTTGTTTTCTGGTTTTGTTGGTTCCCCCTAAATAGTTTCCTTCCATGTTAAAAAGGAAGGGTTTTTTTTTAAGGGTTATCTCTTTGCTACATAATTTCATCCTTTCCTTTTAATGCAGTCTTAAGGCAAGAGGCAGGACTGCCCAGAGTGGAATTAAAAGTCTGGGAACAAGCAATATCCCTCTGGCTGAAAATCCATTACAATCCTAAGGGTCTATTACCTTGCTTCCTGGCCGCAGTTCCCTATCCTCCTTGGCTTATGCAAATAACTAACAAGATCAAACAAATTGGCCTAAACCCTGAAAATATTTTTATTGGAACTCTGAACAAGGCAAAAGCTACTATCACTCGGAGACTTTATGATATCGAATTACAACAAGAAGGCGCCCTACTCCCAGAGACGTATAGATGTATAAAAGCTTGGCCTAATTTTGCAGCTGCCCCTTACTTAACTAACATCACTAACGAAACCTATAGATGGGCTTTCTCTAGAGCCCGCTTTGAGACAATGCCCTCAGCAGTGCTGTACGGCAAATTCACGCGAGTTCCAATGCATGCGCGTCTCTGCCCTTGTATGTCTAATAAGGTAGAATCTGTCACACACATTCTTCTATCTTGCGAATTCTATAGTGAAGAACGAGTTCAACTTATTTTACCGCTTCTATCAAAATTTATACCCCTCCAATATTATTTGGAATCCTCCCCTGAAATTCTTCGAAAACACCTCCTGGAAGATTCCTCAAGCTCAGTATCATATGAGGTGGCTAAATTTTGCACTTTAGTAATTAAGAAGCGTAAATCTCTTCTGTTGAATGGCACACTGTGAAGTTCTTTTGTGTAACCTTTTTTCTTTTCTGAAGTTGTTGCTGATTTCTTGTTGTCTGATCTTGTGGTGTTTAGTGTCACTGGCTTTGGCCGCAATAAACTTGATTGATTGATTGATTGAATTTCATCCTTATTTAGACATCTGTGTTTGAAAAAGTGCTGATGTGTTAGGTAGGTTTTGGTGGGTCCTGTGGGGAAGGAAAAGGATGGATTGGGGTTACTGAAGAATGTATGTTTATAAGAGAGAAAATGGGCTACAATTACAACATTTAGAAAGGCCGAGTCTTCAGTAGAAGAGGTGTGGTTGTGTGCATTTTGGAGATGCCTGGCTGTGGTCTCTTACATAGGGCTGCCATATTTCAAACAGTGAAAATCCAGACAGTTGTTTGGGCAAATGAGGAGGAGGCCACCTTGAGCTCTCTGGAGAAAAGGTAGGTTAGAGGTGCAATAAGTAAATAGTAATAGCCCTTGACTTCTTTCATAGGTGGTTGTGCCCCTTACTAAAATATGAAAATAGCTCCAAAAGGTTGACATCAGATGCCATTTTCCTGGACATTTTTAGCAATTTCTGCAATTTTTAGCAATTTCTTCCCAGACACTGCTTCCGACTGCATTGTTTTGGATATGCTCATGAAATTCTAGGTGTATGGCAACCCTATTTTACAGCAAAGTCCAGGAGGGCAGAGTGGAGGACCTGTTTACTGAAGGAGCCCAAACACTGCAGGTAGAACTGGTGTGCCACAGGGGAACTTGGTGTATGTATGCTTTTTAGGGTCTCTGCAGAACATTTTGCTAATCTTAGTAGAATAGTAGCACAGGAGTGAAGCAACAATAAAGTCAGGAAGAAAAGGCTATCAAGTTTGGGCTGGGGCTTGCTTTTGGCTCCAAGCACAGCTTCCACTTTTGGATGCATTGGGCAATCTTTTGCATAAGCTAGTTTACTCAGTGCAAACAAATTTTAGCCTGCAGATTGCCAGTTGTTTGTGGTGGGCAGATGGTCTGCAAAGTCATGTGCTGTGTAATCCTTCAATGATTGAACAAAAGCTTGGCATGCGCTTAGGGACTTGGACTAGAAACGTAATATGCTGTAGTGTCTTGTCTATTGGGAATCGGGAGCCTTCTGCTCAACTAAAATTACTTTATTTGAATTAATCCGCTTTTTTATATATTATTTTTGTGTGTGGAAATACCTGGAATCTTTCCCAACATGACTGCTTGGAGGAAGGAACTTGCTGGCTTGTCAGACCAGTGGAAGCATGTCATGTGCCCGAAAGACAGTGTAACAAGCAAGTGTCTGGTTAATCTGCATGTTGGAAACTGTGACAAATCCCAAGCCTTGATTAAAGATGTCGCTTCCAGTCAGCCCCAAATGTTCAAAAACTTAGTTGGGTTCACACATCATGGGGCTGGCCTACAAGTGTCATGTTCCAAGTTTCTTGACATGTATTGCAAGTTCAGCTATATATTTTGCGTATCTGTATCGTGCCCTTCTAGGAGGAGACAGAATATTCAATGCAGCAAACCAAGTGTACAAAAGTGTGAGGAAATGTTACACAGCTAAACAATTCTGCTAGCACAAGCACTTTTGGCTGTGCATTGGAAATTCCCCTCCCTGCATGCCCCCTAAATATGTTCTAGGGCTTATGAGGGAGGAGAAATTAACAACTGTACAAGACAACTTCACGGTGGATCTTTCTAGACCCTGGGTGTGTGAAGTGCAGATCTCCCCTTCTGCCACCCTCCCCAAAAAACACACACTGGTGTCTGGGGCCGGTTACTTCCAGAGTGGGGGAACCCAGCAGTCAACCCTGGCTGCCCCAAAGCTGCAGAGGTAGAGGGGGGCTGAGGTGTGAAGCCTGAGGCCTTTCCTTAGGAAACTCACATCCAGCACCCTACTTGTTTGGCAGTCTGCATAGAATTCCCTTTCCTCCTCCTGTTGTGCATTGCAGGGGGTTGGACTAGATGACCCTTGGGGTCCCTTCCAACTCTGCAATTCTGTGAGTCTGTAATACAGTTTAATGCTATTTGGTAAACTAAGCTTTGTGAAAAGCTTGAATGAATTGAAAAAAAGTCTTTTCATGGTGCCCAAAATACAAGAGATGGGACTGCCAAACAAGCTTTCCTAGGCAGAGAGCTCCAGAGGTGGGACACCACTACTGAAAATTATTTTCTGGATCACGCAAGCTCAAAACCAGCACTTTGGATTGATTGAATATGGAAACAAAAATGGTAACCTGTGTAGATGGTATATCAGTGTTGTGTGTTCCAAGGTACCATCTCTCGTTAACATCCTAGCAGCTGCATTCTTGACCAGTTGCAGTTTCCAAACTGTCTTCAAAGGTAATTCTATGTAGGCCATACTGAAGTTATCTTCCTGGTTTGTACACAGTGAATATCATCACTGCCCTGTAATGTGACTGCCCTATATTCTTTACCCATGAATGTATGCTTTAGGTTATCAAGGCTACCTGTGGCATTCTAAAGATTGCACACACAGTGTACATAACTGTAGCAAGAGACATACACACATGTTATGTCAGGGTGAATCAACCTTTTGGGGCTATAAGTGTGTCTGAATTGACGTCACAGCTCCACAGCATTCAAATAAGTACTTCACTTTTGCCTGTATGGTGTGGTGGTTAGAGTGTGCTGGATCTGGGGGACCAGAGTTCAAACCCCAGTCAGCCACTGGACAGACTTGTCACAGGCCTGTCATTCCTCCCAGCCTAACCCACCTTGCAGGGTTGTTGCAAGCATAAAATGAGGAGGAGGACAACCATGCAGGCCACCTTGAGCTTTCTGGAGGAAAGGTGGGTTAGAGGTGCAATAAGTAAATAATAAATAGCCCTTGACTTCTTTAATAGGTGGTTGCACCCCCTGCTAAAATCTGAAAACAGCAGAGCAACTTAGCTGAATCAGTTTACAGTTCTTAACTGCTCCGATATCTGAGCACTCCTGCCTCTCTTTTTTTCTCCCCCTTCCCCCCATAAAAAGGAAAGAACCGGAGGTTGAAGCAAGCGAAAGAAGAAGCTCAAGCTGAAATTGAGCAGTACCGCCTGCAGAGGGAGAAGGATTTCAAAGCCAAGGAAGCAGCGGTTGGTTAGATTTCCATACTAGCTAAGATTTTCTTTTCACTCCTCTCTGCTCTTCTCTGCCCAGATTTGCTACCTGCCCCTGTGGTGATTCTTGGAAGTCTGGGATAAAACTGATTTAACAGCAGTTATTGGTGCAGAGATTAAGACCCTGTGGCCCTGCAGATGCTGTTAGGATTTCATCTCCCTGGCTGATAATGAGTTGTAATCCAGCAACATCTGAAGGGCACAGGGTCATCATCCCTACAATCTAGACCGCTCTTCACTCAGTGGATATGTCCTAACTTCTTTCTAAAGACAGTGGCCATTGCTGTATCTTAAAGCAGTGGAATTTGAATTTCTTTTCTCCATCCTGCCCAATTTTCGGCCCTGAAGTTTTTTGGGGTGAATGGAATTTTGCAGGGAAGCCACTTTCCTTCACACCGTGTGTTATTCAACTTAAATTTTCTGCCTCTTCCCCCCTGTCAATTCATCCCCTAAGCTTAAAAAGTTATTCTAACCATCTGATCATTCTGGCTGCCTTTCCTCCCAGTTCTATGATACACTCTTCTTCAGACCCCCATTCAACTCCAGCCTAAAAAGCTAAACTGGCATGCACTCACACGCATATACATAGAGTATTTATACACCTTTCTCATTTTTTATTTTTAAGTTAGGGCTTCTAGATGGAAATGAGGGCATGTTCCTTGTAACTTAATAGTTTCACAGAAAAGGAGAATTGTGTTTGCTGCAAGGTTGAGAACATGTACTAGTCGGGAGTCCCTCTTTGCAACTGATTAATAGTAAAAAGGACCTGTGCTTGGTCACTTTCTCTCACCATTCTCTTGCAGCATTATTTTTAAAATGCTGTCAACAGCAGTTGAAGTTCAGTACAGTACTTGCTCAGCATATGGATTTTCCAGTCATTTGTACCAACATGTTTAAAATTACAACTCTTATGTTTTGTATTTTTTTTTATTTTGGGTAGCTTCTCTCCTTTCATTATACAGTCGTACATCCGCTTACGTATCCCTCTGGTTACGTAAACTTCGGGATACGTAAGCAGCAAACCCGGAAGTATATTTCCGGGTTTTTGCCACGCACACATGCATAGAAGTGCTCTACCGCTGTGCGTGCGTGCACAGAAGCGGTCTCTCGGGTTGCAAAAACCTTGGGATCCAGCCGGACCTCCGGAACAGATCCTGTCCGCAACCGGAGGTACCACGGTATTACAGGAAGGGCATGTTTCAGGCAGCCTTTGAAGCTTGACCACTAGTCCCTCTAGCCCAGACTTGTCTATACTGACTGGCATTGCCTCCCTAGGGTTTCAGACAGGGAGTTTTTGCCATATCTAACTTGGGAATTCAGGGACTGAACCTGGGACTTTCTGAACTTTGGCCCTCTAGCCATGCTTGCTGTGGTTGAAAGCAGTGGCAATTCAGCAGCATCTGGAGGACTGAAAGCCCCCACCCTTGCCTGGAGGGCCACATATGCAAAGCTACTGAGATCAGTGGGTTTTAAGTAGATATGCATAGAATTGTTCTGGATCGAGGCACTGAAGAATCCTAGAAAAGACATGGAATTCGTTCTGGTATGAAATGTACTTTTCGGCATTACAGCTTGGTGAATAAACTTTCCCCCCCTTGTTGCCTCAGGCTCTTGGTTCCCATGGCAGTTCCACCACTGAGGTGGAAAAGGAGACTCAGGAGAAGATGACCATTCTCCAGAACAACTTCCAGAAGAACAGGGAGGAGGTGCTGACTAGCCTGCTCAACTTAGTCTGTGACATCAAGCCAGAAATCCATTTGAACTACCGCATCAATGGATAGGGGCGGGGGGAGTGTTTTGGCATTCAGGAAGTATTAAGCAATACCGACTCTAGCTGTGCCCCTCCTTTTGTAACAGACCTTAACTTATTTCAGAGAGTTGTAGATAATCTTTTTGCCTCTTCTTTCTAAAACCTCCTGAGAACCTTTTGTAGCATTTTTGGAGCTCATCCAAAGATACATATATACAAGTTACATGTCTCAAAAGTGCATTATGATGGAAGGGTAATATTGTAAGACTTGTGATAAGTATTGTGCACTCTGTCCCCATGAAGTATTTTAAAGTTAGGAAGGATGAGATCTCCTATGCTATCTTCTGTATACCTCTTAAAACTGGAAATGTGTGAGCCTGGTGCTATGGCCAGTGACAAGCTCACACCAGCAGAGGGAGGAAGTTTTGTTCATAAAGAGTTGTGAGTCTTACCGTACAGACTAGTCCAATGACTTGTGACGGTGTGTTTTCTTGAAGTAGATTCTGTTTGAACAGCTATACTCTGTATATCTTCCTGTTTAACTTGAACTAGAATCCTGCCCTTACAAATGTTTGAAGAAAAGTAAAAGTCTTACTTAATCTGTGATTGGATTAAAATGTGTTCATTTCATTCAATTTATGAATTGCTTCCCATAAAATGTTTTAAAGCAATGCCACAGTAAAAAACCAATTCTGTATACACAAACAAGCAATTCCATATGTAGAAGCATTTTCAGTTTCCGTGGAGATACATACTGGGATAAAGAGCTTTGTGCAAAAGTCTTGTTGGACAAGAAACACATAGGTGCCAATAAGAAGTAAGTATAAAGGTGATGGATCTCTGATTTGCAATGGGAAGGAATTCCAAAGGATAGGTGCCATTACACTAAAATGATTACTCCTCTCTCATCTTTTCTCCCCCCCCCCCCCGCCCCGCACACATCTGACATAGGATGCTGGTTAACTGAATGAGTGGGTGGGTGCTTTTGTCATTCCAACAGTGGTATTCTCTTGTAAGTCACCTTCCCAGGTCTGCAGGCTGCCACAAGAACTAGATGTGAGTAAGGCAGTTGATGTGACTCTTGTCTTCTGTATCTGCTAAGCCACATCAATTGCTCTACTCGTTTCTGGTCCATGCACAATCCAAGGTGTGCATAATCTCCATAATTCATCTAGCAAGCAGGAGGCATCGTCACAGTTCAGGGACACATTCCTGCACAGCAAAAGCAATCAAGGAGGTTGCACATTGAGGCCAGTGAGGTGGGGTAGCTTAAGAAGGAGCTCAGCCTCAGGTGATTTCCATGGGGTGCATAGAAAGCCCTGAAGAGCTGATTTTATCTCATGGATGAAAACTTAATTATATTAAAACATGGCTTAGCCAGTTCATATCATATCCTACTGAAATCCAGCCAGTTTGAGTAAAACAATTAGACTTTCAGACCCTTCGTGAGTTGGGGAAGGAGAACTGTGACATCTCAAACATAATTTAAAGAATGCTTTTAAACTTAGAGCTTGTGCTGGCAGTTGTGGAACCTGCAGTTCTCATCCTTGATCAATGGCTGTGCTGACTGTGACATATTCAGATTGGAGTCTCACAATATTTGAAGAGCCACAGGTTCCCTATGGCAACTGCTGCACCTCATCTGAGCTCTCTGAATTGTAGGGGAAGGGAACCTGCAGCCAAAGGGTCATAATTCATTGACAGAAGGTCTGGACGATATATCAGTATATCGCCCAGGACAGGTATCAGGAGTAGACCGTGATGTTGGCTTCACTCAGTGGTTTATCGCTGGTGAAACCACCACCGTTCCTGAGTCCCTCTGCTAGCAGCACCCGCTGGAGTGAGTCAAGAGTTGCTGCTTCCTTCAGTCAAGATGTTAAAGCAGGGGTCAGCAAAGTTTTTGTGGCTTGGGCCAGTTCACGGTCCCGCAGACGCTGCAGTGGGCCGGAGTGCACACACACGCATGCACAAATGCTATTTCTGGCGTGGAGGAGGCGTGCGTAGCTTCCCATTGGCTGCAGAAGCTTCCTGCAGCCAATGGGAAGCCGGGCAGCGTTGCAGAAGGCGGTCCCCGCTCTGCTCCGTGCCGGTTTCTTGTGCACGGGAGCCAACTGAGCAGGCGGCGGGGGTCCATGGGCCGGTTAAAGGACCCCCATGGGCCGCTTGTGGCCCATGGGACTTAGGTTGCCAACCCCTGAGTTAAAGGATTGCCCTGCGGTGGCAGCAGCAGGGCTGGCACAGCTGGAGATCAGGAGCCCTCCTGCACCCCTGCTGAGCCGTGCAAACAAGCTACTTTTCAACATTGCAGTCTGGCAATGGTAAGTTGCACTGACCTCAGACCGCAAGGCGCTGGGGTGAAATCACCCCAACTCCCACAGTGAGAGCTGGGGCAGTTTCACCCAGCACCTCATGGGCTGAGATCGGTGCAACTTATTTTTTCAACATCACGGTATGTTGCCAGACTGCAATGTTGAAAAGCTGATACTGTCCAGCCCAAATTGACAAAGCATCTGCTTTGCATGCAAAAAGTCTCAGGTTCAACCCCTTCCAGGTAGGTCTGGGAAGCTGTCCCTGTCTCAGAGCATGGAGAGCTGCTGCCAGTCATCTAGCTACTAAGCTAGATGCACCAATGATCAGAGCTGGTGTAAGGAAGCTTCCTGTGTTGCTAAAGTGCTGCTTCATCCTGTTGCAAAAAGAAACAAAAAAATGAACCAAAGAAGGCCTACTCTCTATCCTAGCACCAAGCAGATGACTGCATATGAAGATAGACTTAGTATTTGGTCTCGAGTCATTTCATCGTGCCAGAAGTCTGGTTGGGTGGGGTGGGAGGAGAAGCACTGCAGAGGTTTTGCAGAAGCAACTGGGAGTTATCACTACTGCCTTCACCAAGTCAGTGTGTGGTGAAACAGTTTCTGTTTTGCTGAGCCATCTGGTGTCAGCTGAAGAGTCAGACAGGAGTTGCATAAATAACATCGTAGGCTCTTATATCTTTATATTTTGCATTTGGGCAGATGCCAATGCACAGAATGTTCTGTGTCATTCTAACATCACATGCATGTTAGAACACAGGAGAGCCTTGCATCAGACTGAAGGTGTGTCTAACATCTTGTTCTGTCCATCACCAGCTCCCACCAGCAAACAAGCTTCCTAGAGAGGGCTCTCACTGTTGTTACCTAGTGACTAATATTCAGAAGCATTCAGCCTCGTCCTCATTGAGTTGCTGCTGAACTACAACCAGCATCCTTGGCTGTGCTGGCTAGGCCTGATGTGTGTTCCGTGCACCTGGTATACAGCCATCACCAGTAGCCATTATTTTCCAGAAAATTGTCTAATCCCCTTTTAATGCCATCTAAAATGGTGACCTTTGCCCCATCTGTGGATTGTGTAAGCAAAATACATAGTAGGAGTGGCAGCTGGGGAAAAAGGGCTTCTGCTGCTGCTGTGAAGTTTGACAAAGCAGTTGATCAGAACTGTGCATGGAATGCCCCATTCATCTTTCTCTCTCTCTCTTTCTCTCCTGTGTGTGTATGAGACAGAAAGAGATCTCATGGTGCCACATGAGATTTTATGAATGGCATTTAATATGCTGGCTTTTCCTGTTCCTTTAGTGACTTCCCTATTCTGTTGCTGGTATCCGCTTTCTATTATGTCTCCAAATCTTTCATGGGCCTATATTTGTTGATTTATATATGGAGTTGACATTGCTGATTGGGCAGTGTGTTCAAAGCCATTGCTGGGAGTATGGCGTCATCAGCTGGTAATAAAAGCATGTCCCAGTTTGACCTTAGGCTGTAAAAAACAATTCAACACCACCTGCTGTCTTTTGTGGGTGGTGGCTCAAAGTAGTTTGTTAATAATCACTTTGCTTTTTTAAAATACTTATAACCTTGATCACTGATTCATTTTAATAACTTCTGTACTGCTTATTATAATATAATCTCTTAAGTGGTTCACACAAGTTACAAGCAAAAAATCTCAAGCAAAAAATCAGTATATAGCATCAAAATACAATAAGAATCTAGCAAAACATTAAAGCAGAAATACTGAAATACTTGTGGCTTGTTCCAGTAGTTTGATGAAAAGACATAATGACCCATGAGCCATGTTCAAACAAATGTTGGCATCTGTCTGTCTCAAGTGTGCCTCTTGGGGTGAAGTCAAACCACAGGGGAATTGCAGCGCCTGCTGTGGCTGCAGAGACCAGTAATTTGTAATTGTTGCCTCTTGTGTTGTTTTTGCTGCATTAGCAGTGCCAAAGTGAACCTTCTGAAGCACAAGCATGGGCAATGAGTTTGGAGGGCTTGGGCTGGCCAGACGACAAGACCCCCACTTGGTGTCGCTGATGTGGTCCAGAGGAAAGCAGAGCAATACGTTTGGAACCAGCTTGGCTGCAGGAGTTGCCAGAAGGAGGTGTACATGGCACCACCCAACTGTCTTAGGGTCTCCACTCTGGATTTGTGTAGAGTTTATTCCTTAGTCTTTCTTCTCCTAAATATGTCCCACAAGGCAATGGGTATACAGTGGTACCTCGGGTTAAGTACTTAATTCATTCCGGAGGTCCGTTCTTAACCTGAAGCACCACTTTAGCTAATGGGGCCTCCTGCTGCCACCGCGCCACCAGAGCACGATTTCTGTTCTCATCCTGAAGCAAAGTTCTTAACCCGAGATACTATTTCTGGGTTAGTGGAGTCAGTAACCTGAAGCATATGTAACCTGAGATAGCACTGTATATTTTTCTCATAGTTTACTCCCGTACGTTTTCTCCTGAATGAATATAGCTGCAAGGCAGTGGAGGTTTAGGAGGAGTTTTATTTCTGTACGGGCTACCTTCCCAGGTTGATAAGTCCCATCTGCCACTCACTTCCCTCTACAGCATGTGCAGAATCTACCACCTAAACCATGGGTAGGCAAACTAAGGTGAGGGGGCCAGATCCGGCCCAATCACCTCAATCTGGTCCAGGAATCAGCATGTTTTTACATGAGTAGAATGTGTTCTTTTATTTAAAATGCATCTCTGGAATTTGTTCACCCCCCCCAAAAAAAATATATAGTCCGGCCCCCCACAAGGTCTGAGGGACAGTGGACCGGTCCCCTGCCGAAAAAGTTTGCTGACCCCCTGTAGATCCATTATTTGTCTCATCCACTCAGTCTGCCAGAGCTTGTCTTTGCATGCAGGGGTAGTCCCTAACTCACCAAGGGTTTGAGAATTATTGGCTACCCTCACCTGCTTTAGCTGCTCAGTCAAAGCCGTTTCCTGAGGTGTGGCCACTATAGGTGAGAGTTGAGTGCAGGGTGGGGACAAAAGGTGAGCAAATGATCCCAGAAGGAGCATGACTTGTCCTTCACCAGAGGTACTACACCTTTCCTAACCCCAAACACTGCATTCAAGTAATAAACTCTGGTTAATCTTAACTATTGCCTGTTGAAACAAGCCAGCTTCACAATCCATGGTTTGAATTTGGCTACAGTGGTACCTCGGGTTAAGTACTTAATTCGTTCCAGAGGTCCGTTCTTAACCTGAAACTGTTCTTAACCTGAAGCACCACTTTAGCTAATGGGACCTCCCGCTGCCGCCACGCTGCAGGAGCATTATTTCTGTTCTCATCCTGCAGCAAAGTACTTAACCCAAGGTACTATATCTGGGTTAGTGGAGTCTGTAACCTGAAGCGTATGTAACCCGAGGTATCACTGTACTTTCAAACTGGTCATGGTGAAGACCAACCAGACACTCCTACTTATGAAGCAGATTGGGGCAGCTGGTGTTGCATGTGCGACACTTGGCACTTGCGTTGCTTGTGTGTGTGAAGTCACTTGCATGCTGAGCACCCTCAGCGGTGCATATTGAGCATCCCAAGTGATGAGCACTGAGCAGCCCAAGCACTGGCTTTTCCTCACTGCAGCTGCTGCTGAAAGAGGCCCTGGCTCCTTCTGGCATCGTGTAGAACATAGTTTGTGTGATGTCCTGTGTGCTGAGTGTCCCGAGCATTACATATGCCATGCGCAATGTCATGTGCACAATGCTCAGTGCAACATCGGGAAGAGCCAGGGCCTCCTTCCGCTGCAGCAGGAGGAGGAGATGCTGGCCACAGAAGCCACATCTCAACGCTCAGCCTCCCCTCCCTGAAATATTATTCAGGGGCCCAAAGAGCTCAGCACCCACCCCCAAGGTGGCACCCCTAAGACCAACCAGAGTGTGTTGGTGACAAGCTGTGATTAATGAAAAACAAGCCAAATGAGGCTTTCAAAGGAATGGAGAGACATTGCAAAGCTGGCTTGAGTTGTGTGGGATTTCACTTAGCTGCCATATAGCAAGTCAGACAATTGGTCCATCTGGCTCAGTATTGCCTCTTGCTTATCTGGAGGGAGGATATAAAGTTCTGTGTGAATGTGTGTACAAACTACGCTAAGGCACAAAGATAAAATTTACATTCATTGTTCCATCCATTTTTCGTCTGGCCCTATCCACCACGGACATGTGGACCTCAATTGGTTTGCCCAGAAGGGAATGTGGCTCTCAGGCTGAAAAGGGCCTCCCACAATGTTTTGGGGGTTTGTGTGCTGTTAAAGCACAGGAAGCCAGAGGAGAGGTAGCTAAAAATAACACTACTGATTTCATATGCAGCCGTTCACAGAGGATTTAAGATTGCCCAGCAAGAGGCGACAGGAGGCCCTGAAAAAGATCCAGTAGAAAGAAAGGTGAGGATTTGCAGGCCAAGTCTCTTGAAGCTGAGATGTGTCTCCTGTTAAGGAAGCCATGGATTTTTCTTCTATGTTCAGCCTTCAGACAATAATAAGAAAAATCTGTAGAAGGGCACAAAGTCAGCACAGCTTATCCACATTACAGAACAGCAAAAAGCTTTGACACAGGCAGATAAACAAGTGCTGCAGAACTTTGCCGGATGCTTGTAGGTTTGCAATGGTTGCTTCCAAGCAGGTTGTAAAGGAAAAGCTGAAATGGTCAGAGGCATCTTGTTGACATAGATTAATTACAGATTAATTGCCACAATTAATTACAAGATAGCAGCTCTCCTTGCCATTTAAGGATCCACTCAGAGGAATCCTGCCCTTCCAACCAAGAGAAATTGACAGCTGTAATCTGTATCTTCTATACCATTTTAGGCTACAAAGTGTGGGTGGGTGGGGAGGGGCCAGTGTGAGAAGAGGATGCTGGACTAGGTGGGCCTTTGGCCTGATGCTACAGGGCTTTTCTTGTGTTCCAGTTTGTGTTGTTTGGAGAAATATGAATTAGGTAGAATTGCCTTTAAATCTGACCTGAACTGAACCATTCCCCAATCTCTACCCAAGTGTCAAAATAAAGAAAAATAAAGAAGCAAGAACTACATAATGAAAGCTCCAGATGCACCTGTATGGGGGAAGGAATACCACAGTTTAGGGGCTGCCACAAAGAATGCCTTTTCCCAGGCTGCCACCCCCTTAATGTCCGAGGGTGGTGGAACTATCAAGAGGGCCCCTTTGGAAGCCAAACCAAAGGATTTGAGGAACACATGACTGCATTCCTTTGCAGTCACTAAGCTTGCTTGCTGGTCTGAGCTGAGAAAATTATTATGGTCGGCATTCAGCAAGACTTTCCATGTTTTTGCCTGCTTCCTCCCAATCTAAACAATCCTGCAATTCTATGGAAACCTTACAGCATTTTGATCTTTGACGCTCCTTCCTGGTTGGAAGAGGACCAGATGTTTATGACGGAGTTCTGCACAGCAGTAGAAGGAGGCGGCAATGTAAGTGCGCGCTCTCTCTCTCTCTCTCTCTCTCTCTCTCACACACACACACACATTTTCCATAGGTTGTTGTCTTTGTTTTTTACTGCAGCTCACGAAGAAGCTGACTCATGCACAAGAGACCTAGATTATTTTAGTGATGAAGGAGAAGGGAGTGCACTTCCTACCCCAAGGGCCCTCTGGATGGAAAGCTAGTCCAACTTCTCATTCATAATTCCCAGCAAGTGGTTGAGTAATGGTTGGGTGGATGGTTACAGGAGAGATGATAAAAAATTCCCAAGTTTTTCTTGTTTCTGTTGGGTGTATTGTGCAACATGCCACTGATGCAATCATAGCGGGCTAGGTACAAGCCACATACAAAAGACAAGGGAAAATGAATTTAATAGTATGGAGCAGTGGTTCCCAAAGTGGAGGTAGGAGGTGGGATTCCCTAGGGCCAAGGAGGGTGTGTGTGTGTGTGTGTGTACACTGGAGGTGTAAGTGACTACCAGGCTTTGAAAAGCTGGTAAGACTGGATCAAGTTCATCAGTTTGGTTGAGTTAATTAAACTGGATAGTTTTAACTGGATTTTAAATGAATAAAAGCTTGCTGCTTTGAATGTCATTGTGATATTATCTTCCTTAGTGGCTTGTGCACACCACTATTCTGAATAATGCTCTTTATAGGGTAGAGGGCACTGGGAATAAATCCATGGAACCAAAGGACCTTGAGAACCAAGGGTATGCAGCCCATATTCTTGCTTCATTTTTTGTACAAGTGGGGTATTGTGTTTTAGGTTTGCGATGCATAACGAGCCTCACAAGTGAAAGAGTGCAGACTATGGATTGCACCGAGGGCTGTGCAACAGATTTGGCTGATGCATGACCCAGATCAGCCATATTTGGGTGACTTCGGTACAGCCATGGATTGCTACAGATTGGGTCGGATGGCATCCATGGCCATCAGACTATGGGATGTCAGACAGGGAGGATAGGCAGGCACTGGGTGGGAAACCCCCCACAATAACCCTACGCTGACCATGGGCTGTATCTTTCTGGGGAAAGGTAGGTGTCTGCCACCTGCCATTCCTTCCTGCCTGAGACCTGTTCTGAAGCAGCAGCACACAGGATCCATCAGTGGAGGCATCAAACCTGCGTGGTACAGGGTGCTCCTTTGCAAGAGGCCTCCATCCTGAGCAGGAGTTTGCAAAAGAACATCAAACAGTAAGTGGCTCCAGAGCCAATGACAGGCTGAGTTGGCTAATTCTGATTTTGTCCCCATCCTGAGTTCTGCAAGAGCAACACTGAGAATAATGAGGAGGAGCTGATAGCTAAGGCCACCCCCTGGCTAGTAGTAAGGATGAAGGCAGGCAGGCAAACAGATGGCAGCTGTCTGATTGGGAAGAGACCATAGTTGGTAGGGGAAAGTCCCATTCACTCCCATGGACTAGTCTCCAGTGGTAGAGCCTATGTTTTAACTCCAGGGAAAACAAATCAAAACCCTGAACAGCAGCCAGTAGAGTCTGGTCTAAAAGGGGAAATGGGTGCTGTCCCATCAGCCTCATTCTGTCCTTAGTCAGCTGCCACCTGCCTTCCTTCCTATTTACAAACAGTCCAGCTGATGGACAGTTAGCTTAGCTGTTAGCCGGCTCCTCCTTATTCTCAGTGCTGCCATTATAGAGCTGTGAAGAGAACAGGATGAGATCAAATCTAGAATGAGTTAGCTCTGTCTGTCATTGGCTCAGGCTCCACCTAGTGCTGGCTTCTCAGCCTTCCTCCCTACCAATCTCAATGGGCACCAACCACTGCTGACAGCAGCTCTCTACATTGCAACATTTTGTTTCAGCCTCCCCTCCCCACTCACGGTACCTTAATGACTTGTACATGTTTGAGTATGTGTGTTTAGGTGCATGAATTGAGAAAAAGAAATTCAACAAAGAGAAAACAGCAGAGAAGACAAAACATTGACAGGCTGAGTTTCTGAAAGTGCAGCAGAAAAAGAGGGCCCTGTAATTGGATTCTGACATAACTTGCATACTTGCATTTTCCCTTTATTGGCAAATGCAGCACCTATGTTGCATTCATGCATGGGCCTCTTGCCAAGTCTCGTTCCACCCACTGTTGATGAGTATATAACATTGCTTCAGATAGTGACTCAATGAAGCTTCATGAAAGGAGGAGGATGTGAAGTAACAGGGGCAGAACTCTGCAACAGATCTTCTACTGAGAGCTCAGACAAGTAGGTTTCCATCTCAGGACCCATCTTGAGCTTGCTTGGCCTCCACTTGCAACCCTCGACCACCTCTCAGATCAGATATCACATGATTAGCTTGGTGTTTCCTAGGACAGAGCAACTTCCAGGTGGAAGATGTGGATGCAGAAAGCTAGATTTTCCATCATCTGATTCTAAAATTCTTGAGTGACACTGCTCTGCAATATGGCTTGTTGGAAAAGGCAAGTGGACATGTCTAAGGAAGACGAATTACCATTCTCCGTCTCTTACTGTCAGACCCAAGGGGAGGAACATTCAGACTACTGGAAGGAAGGTAATGTAGATGAATGCACTGTTGATTGCCAAAAATGAGGTGTAGAATAGTCAACACCCACTGAACTAAACATGGGTCACATCCAGACTGTCAGTGTTTTGCAGGAGGGATTCAAATTCAAACAAGGAAATTTAGATATGTGCAACTGCAGCTGATTGAAGTGCTCTGTTTTCCCAATGTAGCAAATTCACTTTAGGAAAAGAAACGGATATTTTGTGGTTAGGTAAGTGAAGGAGAAAAGAATGAAATACTGTAAATGAATGAATAACTAGAAGACGCTTAAACACTGCACAAGCAAATCAGGATGAATGAAGGGTGAATGCTCATTGTTGTATAACCACAAACCAAACAGAATAAGTTGGATATAATTTATCCTCTGTGCAAGCTTTGAGCAAGCAACAAAGGCAGATTTAGGAGAGTGCAACTGGTTTAGTTGCACTGGGTACAGAGCATGGAAGCGCCATAGGGGGTGCTGCAACTATGATGTAGAATGGAAGGCAAGGGGGGCCACTGAATTTTGGCATTGCACAGGGCACCACAGGAATTTGAGATCCCAAGGTATGTCATTGCAAGCAAATCAAAATGAATACTCAATGAATAGCTTGTCTGGAGGAGCCCATAGAAACTATTCGTGAGAAAGAGTTTCCATCCATGAATTGCCTTGTGTTGATATTTAGGTATATTTTAATGCACTGTAGTGTATTTAATGGACTGGGCTTCACCAGGTTTCACATTTAAACAAATGCAATTTAAAATATGGTTACCAGATTTTTTTTCAAGGAATCCAGGGACACTTTTTTTTGGGGGGGGGGGAAATTTCATGCTTTATTTTAGGAAAGGGTCCGGGGACCCTAATTTAAAGCAAAAGAATAATGTGGTAAAATTTACAGCAGCCATTGCACGATCAGTTCAATATGATACTTCAGTGATGTCTTTTGGAGGATCAGTAAGCTATTCCCCCTTCCCTGCTCCAGAAATTGTTGGACAACCTTTACCGTCTCTTTTCCTTCAAGGATGATGATAACTCAATGGTACAGCAGTATGCAGATAATTGCATACAGATAATTGTCCCTGGTACCTCCAGCTATAAATGGAGTGTGTGCATTATGGTTGAGACAATACTTCTGCCTGAGAAATAGCCTTCCTAAACCTGAGACGCTCTAGATGTCTTGGACTGCATCTCCTATCATTCCTAACCATGCTGGGTTGGGCTGATGGGAGTTGTAGTCCAAAACATCTGGAGGGTCCCACGTTGGGAAAGACTGCCATAGATTCAAAGAACCATAGAGATGGGTGGGATATTGGAAGCCATTAAATGAATCCCCACAGTGCGGGGTCTATGGCACAGGGTGTAACTACAGCACCTGCATGTATCATGTTTCCTTTGCATTGAAATGAATGGCTTGGAATAACGTACTAAGAATATATTCTATAATCTACATAATTAATTGCTTAACTTACTTAACTTACGCAACTTTACCACAGCAGAACAGAGAGAAAAATAACAGTTTTTGGAAGAAAACCAATTGCAGCAGAACTGATTGCGGCATGTGATGAATACAGAATGCCCTCTGGCTCCTTCCTGATTCTGTTGGGACCACACTTCCCATCAGCCCAAGCCAGCATGGCTAATGATCAAGGATGATGGGGGTAGAAGTTGAACAACTTCTGGGAAGGTGTCCCATTAGCTGTCCAGTCAAAGAATCTATGAAGCTGAATCTTTTCTTCGGAAGGGCTGAAAGCTCAGTGACGAGGTCCCTGCTTTCCACACAGAACAATTTCCATCCTTAGCATTTCCAGTAGGGATGGGGGAGAAATTCGATTCAGTTCACACTTAAAAGTCTCACATAAGTAAACCACAGTTTCCAAAATGATAAGTTAACTCAAACACAGCCCGCTCCCAAAATTTGCACTTTATGGAATTTCACAACACAGATCTCAAACTGAGTAATGCAGACAAAGAAAAATCATACCCTGTGCATAGAAGTGCATATATTAGTGAAAATAGCATGCAAGCATGCATTTATCAGGGGAGAACGATTTGCAGAAGTGTGTATACTACAAGTATGTACAAAAATGCAAATGAATTTTCATGAGAATTATTATTATTATTTGCAAACTGAATTGGAGAACTGAGCTTTAGACAGGAAAAATGTGAAATAAACTGACAAGAGTTGCTCATCCCTATTCATGGCTAATCAGAGATTCAACTCCAAATCTCCCAGGCCAGAGCAATCTACTACTTACATGGACAAATATGTATCCCCAGAATTCTTCTATATTCCTAATTTCTAAAGGATCTCTGGTTGTATTTCTGGGAAGGACTCATGCATTAAATACTTGAGAGATGGTTCTACTTAGAGGAGACCAGAAGATATCCAAAATGGTACATAGCCAATGGTCAGAGATCAGGGGAGATGTAGTGCAGAACATTTGGAGAACACCACATCCTTTCTGGGACCATTTCCACACAAAGCACATGCACTGCTATGAAGTGATGGCCACTCCACAATGCTTATACTCAGTCTTCTTTACTGTTGCCTTCCAGAGCTTCACAATGGGCAAATGCTTATGGTTCTCACAGCTCACGAGTCCTGTTTTTCTACGTTTTTTGATATGAATCTTTGGGTAGAGAGATTGAAGACCATGGGAATTCAGGTGAGGGTTGCATATATCTTGTTGAATCATGCAGAGATAAAAGCCACCAGATGCAATATAATTTGATTGTGCAAGGAAACAAATCAGGATGAACCAGATCGCAAGGAGTAATGAGTACTTTTAGTACTTTTTACTGCTATCCAAGCTGCTGCTGCTGCTGCTGCTGCTGCTGCTGCTTCTTCTTCTTCTTCTTCTTCGTCTTTTTCTTCTCCTCCTCCTCCATTATTGCAATTGTTATTTTGACTCCAAGCTGTCAGCTAAACTTATTTCCTATTGAAATTAATGGGGCAGTTGGAGGCAGCAAAGCTTCTGAATACCAGTGGCTGGAAAACACAGGCAGGGTGAGTGCCCTTGTCCTCAAATCCTGCTTGCAGGTTTCCCACAGACATCTGCTTGGCCCCTGTGAGAAAAGGATGCTGGATAAGGTGGGCCATTGGCCTGATCCACAAAGGCTCTTCTTATGCTCTTATGCTTAGGAGGACTCTTGACTTACCTAGGACCCTTGTACCTACGGGACCGCCTCTCCTGGCATGCCCAGCAGAGGACCTTACGGTCCACAAATAATAATACTTTGGAGGTCCCGGGCCTCAAGGAGGTTAGACTGGCCTTGACCAGGGCCAGGGCCTTTTCAGCCCTGGCCCCAGCCTGGTGGAACACTCTGTAGCAAGAGACCAGGGCCGTTCAGGATTTGACATCTTTCCGCAGGGCCTGCAAGACGGAGCTGTTCTGCCAGGCCTTTGGTCTGGGCCCAGCCTGACCCCCCTTTCCCCATGAAACCCTGTATGTAAGTGGCCCCCTTGGCGCTTTCTATCGGCCCATATGGGACTAGCACGAGTGACCATGCCTGGCGAACATTTAATATTCTGACCCTCATGGCTGTGATTTGTGGGTTGCCACTTCATTTTGTATTGATTTTACTGTGATTTTGAGCTGTGTTTTAATCAATCGTTTGATTTTGTGTTTTTAATGTATTATATATTTGGTGTTAGCTGCCCTGAGCCTGGCCTTGGCTGGGGACGGCAGGGTATAAATAAAATTTATTATTATTATTATTATTATTATTATTATTATTATTATTATTACCTAACTAGCCCTGTTGTTTCCAAGATTCAAATGAAAGCCAAGTTTATCCAACTTAGTTTAAGGCATTTCCTCCTCCTCCTCCTCCTCCTCCTCCTCCTCCTCCTCTTCTTCTTCTTCTTCTTCTTCTTCTTCTTCTTCCTTTGTTCACATTAGTTTTGTGAGGGAGTGGGAGGTGTGTTGGTGTCATGGTCATAAAGAACAGGAGGAAGAGGAATGACATGAGGAGGAAGATGGGGACAGGGTAGGCCCAAGACAGTCTGGCATCTGAGGTGAACCACAAAGTACCTCTCTCCCTCCCACACACACCAGAGAAGAAGGGGGCAGTGGAGTTTCCCATTAAGATCCAGGGAGGGATAAAGATCTACATTGGGAACAAAGCAGTGAGTCAAATCAACCTTACCAGACAGCTGAAGTCTGGTTTGGGTGTGTGCCCTGAATCAAACCAGGCAAGTGCATAACCCAGGGGGCAACCCCTACCATTTCCTCACTAGAGGAGTAGAGAGACGAGCAATGCTTCCTATTTGCGGAGAAGCTGATATGGAGGTAGCATTCTGAGGCAGGAGGCTGCTGAGGAAGCAGCAGATCTGGCTTCCAAGGAGTGTACCACAGCCACCGCTGCCACTGTAACAGCGGCCAAGGAATTCCTTGGAGGCTGAATCTGTCGCCCCTGAGGATCTGCATCTAAGGTGGTTGCTGCACTTTGCCTCACGAGTGGGCTGCCCTTTGGTGAGGAGGAAGAGGAGGCAGAATGGTAAAGGGGAAAAAATCGGCAGAAGGGATAGGCTTGATCCACTTTGTGGGGTGAGCAGCCCTTCACACATTTCTTAGTTCCAATTGCTCTTCTTGGTCACAGTCCAAAGCATGGCAGTGAATTTATGCTCACTTCATGCTGTTAGGGGATTGTGTCCATTGCATTTGGGCATATATCAAATGACCATGCTGCTGTTTCTTACGCAGGTGACAGCTGACCAGTGGAAAAAATTGATTCAATGTGCAGTGCTAGAGCCAGAGGTGAGAAAGCACCTTTTCTACAACTCCAGAGCATTTGCGATCTCAATTGCTGTGGTAAGCACCATATTGCTTCAGTGAGAGTTGGGGCATGTGGGTTTCCTACAGTCTAAAATGACTATATATATATTGCAGGTGTGGGGAACCAGAGGCCCATTGGTCAAATGTGGCCCTCTAGACCTCTGTTCTTGGCCCTCAGAATTCTCCTCAGGAATGTGCCCAGTAACTCCAGTTATGCTTTTTGATTGCATGGCTGGAAAATACAGAGGGGTGTGTGAGTGGGTGTAGCAATCAGACAACTGTATGAAGATAAAATTTGCATTTGTTGTTCTGCCCTCTTTAGTCTCTCTCCCCCACCCCCCACCCCACTTCTGGCACTTGGCTCCCAGAAGTCTGACCAGAAGCGAATGAGGCCCTTGGTTTGTAAAAAGTTGCTCACCTCTATTTTATTAGATAAATATTGTGTTCCTCCTTTCAGGTTTTCTACGTGACCCTCTGGGTCAATCTTTTTTCCACCCTGCAGATATATTCTGTAGCACAACCCTGGGAAATCAGTATTTTGGCCACTGCAGTTGCCCTAGTGGCTGCCTTGATCGTCAGACTCACAATTAATCAACATCAAAGGAAGGTAAGACGAGTTGAGACATGTCTGCAGTTATGATTTCCATGATGACCAGCAGGTATTAGGGATTCATGTTCAGATAATCACAAATTAAAACAGAACCCAATGGAGCCTATTCAGTTCAACTTTCATTCACTGAAATAAATGCCAAAAGCAAAGCCTGAAAAGCAAGAGGAAGTTGGCCCACATCTTGCAAAGCAATTGCTTTAGAGGGTGCCTGCACATTGCAACCCCATTTGTTGCACCCACCTCATCACAGTCCTAGCTGGAATTGTTACCACTGTCAGCTCAACTCAGCTCAAATCTTCCCACCCTGAAGAGTTATAGCTCAGCAACAGAGAACCAGCCTTTCATGAAGAAGCTCGTCAGCATTGCCAGGTGCATCTGGGAATACTCCCTGCCTGAAATCTTGGGAGAGCCACTGCCAGTCAACATGAACAATACTGAACCAGATGGACTGATGGCCAGATGCAGTTATAAGGCTGTCTTATAACTGTATCTGAACCATTGGTCCACCTGTTCCTATCTTTTAAGTGGGAGAGCTCTAACTCAGTGGTACAACATCTGCTTTGTATGCAGAAGGTCCCAGGTCCAATCCTTGGGCAGGGCTGGAAGGAAACTTAGGAGAGCCAGTGCCACGCAGTGTAGATGATACAAATCTAGGTGGACCATTGACTCAGGATAAGACAGCTTCCTACAAGGAGCCATAATTCAGTGGCAGAGCACTTGGCTGCATTCAGAAGGTCCCAGGTTTCACCACAGTATCTCCAGGTAGAGATAGGAATGTCCCCTGCCTGAAATCCTGAAGAGCTGATGCCAGTCAGTGTATACAATTCTGTACTGGGTGGACCAATGGCTTGATGCAGCAGAAGGCAGCTTTCTATGTTCCCCTTTGAAAATTGTGGGGAATGACTGTTAAAACAGCTTGTTAAACTGCCTATGCCCATGAGACTGTGGTATGGCTTCCCTCTTGCCTCCACTGGCCATCCCGTGGTTGAGACCTTTAATTCCCTTTCTTCTCCTTCTCATTTAACAGCTGAATGTAAGTACGGACATGAGACTAGCCGCTGCCAACGAAGCTTTCATGAAAAACAAATTCCTGGTGGGGTTCACAAATATGCCAGAGAAGCAATGTAGTGTTCCACAGGTATCCTTTTTCAGATTGAAACAATGCTAAATCTCTGTATGTCAGGGAGAACTGAAGTTTCAGTTTTGCCACTTAAGAACACACCCTATATTTACCTCTGAATATAATGATATAATAAAATAAGGGTGGGGACCTTTTGCTGACGAAGGACCTCATTCTCTTCTGGGCAGCCTTCTGGGGATCACATGCTAGTGGTGGGCGAGACCAGGGGCATCCGTACAAATGTAAATGTTTTCCTTTACAAAGTAGGCTAGTTTCTGCACCTGCTCAACCACTCCGCTTTAACCTCAATCTAGGCAAGTCAAAGGCATTATCGGAGTTCAAATATGCATTCCAGCCAGGTGAACACTTGGGGTTGTATCCAATGCAGTGCTAAGTTTTTTTTGGTGTTTTTGTTTGTTTTTGAGTCTAATAATCAGGTTCATGTTTATTGAAGGCTTTTTTGTTTAAAAAAAATTAAAGCAAAAGGATTACATGCCGTTAAACATTTAAAAAAGAAACGATGAATCAGCTAACAAATTTCTCTTTCCACTATGGGTCAATACTGTTCAGATGGCACAGGAAAGGGAGAAGGGGGTGGAATTCTGATCAAGAGCCAATGAAAAAACAACACCGTCCCCAAACAGAGAGTTGGGGGAGAGACACAGGATAAAGAATACACATGCCCTAGCGACTGCAGCAGGAAAGTGTTCGTGGATGCTTGTGGTCTTTGTGAGAGAGCCTGGAAAACTAGAATAAGGAAGAAAAAACTCGTGAACCAAATTGACTACCAAGTGGCCATTTTTGCTCTGCATTTGAAAATATTTTTGCAGACCCATTAAAGATGTTCCCCGGAAGTTGCCCAGTGAAAAGCAGATTGTTAGAAGATATCATACACAGAAAATGAGTGGATCTTGGTTTTAAGATAACCCCAAAAGATCCTTGGGCGAAAGCAACAATGAGAATTTAAATAACACCAGTGTTGCTCAGTTCAATGCTAAAACAAATCATATCATAAAGGAAGACTGGCTGTAATCATGGTTATCTTGAAGGGTTGGAGAAGATTAAAAGTCCTCTTTGGCCCCATCCCAAGGAAAACAGTGTTCCATCTTAAAAGAAAAGAAAAGAAAAGAAAAGAAAAGAAAAGAAAAGAAAAGAAAAGTTTGCTATGTACTTTTGCAGCTCTGCAGAGAGTCCAGAATTAGCAGGACCACCCCAACGAAATTGGGTTTAAACACACAGCCATTTATTCCTCCAGCCTGGATATGAGCACTTGTAAGTTGACACCCCAAGAATTGGGTTCAAGCCACAAAGGCAACAGAATCAGCTGGAAGAGAGGAACCCAGCCCTCCCGCAAAATGCAAGAGAAAATGTTTGGTTATGCAGTCATCTCACTCTCTGCAAGCTCCTGAAGTCAGGAGGACAAAAGGTTCTAGCAACTTGAAAGAAGACATGAGAGTTGGCTGTAAATATGGGGTGGGGTGAAAACAAAACTGTGGCTGAACACAGAAGCTTCACATCAAAGAAAAGGGCCTATCCAAACAGCGACAACCCATTTATGGGCCAGGGGAATCAGCAGTCTGACTCACAGGAGGCCAAAAGGCCGGGCTGGGCTGAGAGCCATTTTTAAAAAAATATATATTAAAAATGCAATGCTCAATTATGAAAGAGAAACCAAAACACCCCTAGAAATTAAGTAAGAGAGTGGTTTTAACAGGACGGTGGCCAGACCCCTGTGGCAGCTTCAGCCTGACAGAACTGGATCCTGCCGGCCGAAGGAAGGAGGTCTCGTGGGGTTCTTCAACATCTTGCTATCAGCAGCAAACTTCTTGGCTCAAACAATGGCAGGAGCCCCACCGATTCCCATGAACAATTCTTGCATTTCTCAGAAAGGCAGAGGAAGAAGTTCCCCATCGCATGTGCCTGATGACGGCATGAAGCTCAGGCTGACTTCAACACCACACTCTTTGATTCAGAGTTTCCTGGTACAGAAAAGCTTGTACTGAGCGGGAAGGAATGCAGCAAACCAGAGTGGAGTGTGGTTTCCTACTGAAAAGTCTACTTTGGCTATGAAGGGGGAAGGAGGTGCGAATGATCCTGCACATCACAAGACCCCCACCACAAATGGGTGGCTGTGAGAAACCAAGGTCCACAACAGACAGAATGTTTCAGAATTAACTGGTTTGTGTCCGGTCACCAAGATGAAATAGCCTTTTGCAGAAAGGCCGGGATAGGCTGGGTGGGAAATCGTTATTGGAGAACTCCAGAAGGAGTTAAAGACATGTAGCAGTACATTTGTTCCACTGGCAAAATGTTTTGTACCAGCTGAACATTGTTGTGCAAGAGAATGTACCTGTGTTGCCCAATAAAGGTAAAGGTAAAGGGACCCCTGTCTGTTAGGTTCAGTCATGGACGAGTCTGGAGTTGCAGCGCACATCTCGCTTTACTGGTCGAGGGAGCCGGCGTACATGTGGCCAGCATGACTAAGCTGCTTCTGGCGAACCAGAGCAGCACACAGAAACGCTGGAGCAGTACCTATTTATCTACTTGCACTTTGACGTGCTTTCGAACTGCTAGGTTGGCAGGAGCAGGGACCGAGCAATGGGAGCTCACCCCGTCATTGGGATTCGAACCGCCGACCTTCTGATCGGCAAGCCCTAGGCTCTGTGGTTTAACCCACAGCGCCACCCGCGTCCAATAGATTGCCCAATAGATGGCACAATTTATTGCACATTGTTTTTCCACTATTGTAACTGTCATGTTGGATCCCTCTGTTGCACAGCATTACAATCTCACCCAACTGCTGACGCAGGAGCCCTTGTGCTAGTAGACAGAGAACATTGGATACAGCCCTCATGGTGCAAAGCAGGGCCAATGAGGTGTGGCCTGGAGAAAGTTCAAAAGGAAAGATAGAGAGGCCTGGAGAGTCACAATCAGCCTGGGGCCTGAGGCTTCTCTCCAGCTATAGCTTAACATCATACATTCTTTACTTGCCATGATATATCTGGTACCATAATTTGCCCATAGGTGGTGGTATTGCTACAGATTACTACATAAGAGTAAAACAATTAAAACAATCTGAGCTCCTTCTTACAAATGGGTGTGAATAAGTAGGCAACATCAATCCTTTTCTTTAGTAAGCAATACAGAGAGTTGCAAAGAATTTCATCATTTACCATAATTTGTGCATGGCTGGTGGGATCATCAGATATAGGGCTGTTTTCCTTGACTTCCCCCATCAGCTCTGGTTTGTTCATTTTGACGTGGAGCCATGCCTTCAATTCTTAGCAGACTCTCTGGCAGAAATGAAGAGGAATGAGAAGGTGAGTGATGATTGGAGGGTTTTTGTTTTGTTTTAAGGCAGAAGGTTTCCAAGGAAGCCATGCTGCTGATAATGTTTGTGGCATTGCTGACAACGAACAAAACATTGCTGACAACAAACAAAACAAATAAAATAATTTGAGCTTCATGTTCCAAATGGGTGTGAATAAGCAAACAGCCATCATCCTCTTTCTCAAGTCAACCATACAGAGAATTGCCTGCAATTATATCAGGCACAAAAATATTCTTCAGAATTACCAGAATCCTGCTGATGGATGTTATCATGCTTTAAACAACCACCACCACCAAAGTAAGACACTGACTCATTGCTCTTAAAACTAGGTTGTGGGTTATAACAAATTAAATATGCAGAATTCAGTCAATGGAGTCTGTTTAGTCATTTAACTATTCCATTTGGGACAGGTGTCTATCATTTTCATTAAAGATGTCATTCTAAAGTTAGTTAGCTAGTTACTTTTTCAAAAAAGAAATTCAGTATTTTTGCAGAGTTTTTGAAATAACTTCACTGCTGGATCACACTGAAGAGTCTTGTTTAGTAAGACTGTGTACAACCCCTCAGTCTCCACCCCCAGGATCTGGGGACCCAGTCCAGGCAGATGTGGAGATCGCGTAGCCTGGATCTGGACCTGAATCAATTCAGGGAACAAGGCTGAAACCCAATTAAACATAAAGGCACAAGGGGGTGGGAGAAGAAGATGTTTCATCTCCTTCCCCTCTTCATGACTGAGAGCAGGAGGGTACAATTGACTGACACTATTTACTGCTAGGCTCCTTGCTTTCTCACAGTAGCAGGCACGCCAACTCCAGGAGACAGAGATGTCATCAGCCCCCTCAATATTCCTTAACAGGGGATGCAGCCCCCAAATATTGAGTGGGTGGAGGAGGTCTAGCCGAGCAAAGCACAGCATCAATGGAAGGCTGCACCAGCCTGCGCAGTGCCAGGAGACACTGCAGGGACCAGGGCAGCCTGGTGTGAGGTTGCACCAGCCTGCTCAGCATCTCCTGAGATTGTGGGGACCAGCGTGACCTAGCAGAAGGCTGCACTAGCCTGCTGTGTCAGGAGATGCTGTGGGGACAGGTGCGGCCTGGCGAGAGGTTGCACTAGCCTGTGCAGCATCTTCCGATGCAAGCAAGGACCGAACAGATTGTGGAAGGCTGCTCCTGCCTGGCATCTCTTGACACCACGCAGGCTGACGCAGCCTTCCTCTAGGCTGCAACGGTCTGGCCTGCAGAGCACAGGGGACATGTGCAACATGCGCCAACCCACCCAATCTTGGGGGCAACATGGCGCCTCTGCCTGGTAGACACCAGGAACCACCGGCACACACACACACACACACACACACACACACAATATCCATCTCCATTTTCTAAGTTCTGGTTCCCTGTGTAGCCAAAGCAGTCCTGGCACCAAATCACCATAGGAATATTCTTCCATTAATTTGCGTCCTGCTCTGGGTCACCCATATTGCTTTTTCTTCAATTCATTTATGTCCAAATAATTTCCTGACAGATTATGCTCAAGATCAGTTCAGCTGCCCCCAATGATGATCCCCAAGTCATTTCTTTATAAAGTAATCTCACAGCAGTTTATTTTCCCAAGTTAACATTCTACCCAGTCACCTTGATCACCATCCTTCTCCCATTCAATTCCCCCAAATTCATTACTCATTTAGAACCACTAGAGGCACTTCAACAAAGATTCAAGGTTGTAGCCAATGTTAGTCCTGCATTCATAGGTGCCGAGTTCTGCCCAACATTGGGGGGGGGGGCTTGTTGCATGTGTGTGACGTCACATGTGATGTCACACACATCAGGAGGAGGCCTCAAGATGAGGGGGCTGCCATGTCCCCACATACTTTGGGGTGGGGGCTGAGCTGTCCTCAGCCCCATAGAGTTGGTGCCTATGGACCCATTGAAATTGTTGGACATGACTTAGTTCTCTTAATTTTTATGTGTCTACTCTGAGTGGAACTTAGTTAGAGACAACCCTCAGAACCCATGCCATCATCCTTAAAAACACTCATATTCATTTGTGTGATTATGGCCATGTTCACGCCATCCATTTAAAGTACTATGATACCACCTTAAGTGGTCATAGCTTCCCCAGAGACTTCTGGGAGCTGTAGTTTGCTAAGAGTTGTTAATTTATCCCTTCCAGAGCTACAATTCTCAGAATGGTTTAACAATCAATCCCTCCTCACAGGTAACTCCTGAATATTGTAGCTTTGTGAAACACCCTTAACAAATTAGAGCTCCAATAATCCTTTATAGGAAGCCTCAACTGTTGAAAGTAGTAGCATAGTGCTTTATGGATGGTATGAATGTGGCCAATGTTGCTATTGAATTGTATCCAACAAATTCCTAGTGAAAGCCGAATGGTTTCTGCTCACACAACATAACTTCTGTTCCCTCTCCTGTCTCTGCATGCCCTCAGTGCCACCTGGACCTTCAGAGCAATTTTGTATATCAGGACTCACATGGAGAGATGAGACAGGAGAGGAAGGGGAAATTCCATTGTGAGAATGGAAGATAAAACCATAGAACTGTAGAGTTGGAAGGGATCCAAAGGGATTCAGTTGATCATTGTTGCTGTTAGTTGATTGCTGCAGAATGTGCTTTTCTGGGTGATGCAGAATAATATCGCTGTCCTGCAAATCTGCTCCTCCCGGCTCCTTTTTAGTCTGCTCTGAAGCACAACCTGAAAGAACTCTGCATTGTAATAGAGACTCCCATCATTCCAAGTCAGGAAAAAGGCCTGGGAATTTCTTCCGAAGATTCTGAACTGCTGCCTGAGAGAAAGGACAGCAACCAAAGTGCCTTGGCATACCGAGAGTTCCTCCAGCTTGTCCCAGATGGAGCCCCTGAGGTAAGAATTCATTGAAGGAGTCTGTAAAAAGGTTTGGTGTTGAGGGAGAACTGAGGTGGATCTTCACCAGCCTCTGTACTCAGCCAGCCCATACCTGCCTGATTTCTTACTTATAAACTGTCCAGAAGGTGGCACTGCCTGTTAGTTTCTTTCTCCTCCTTTGTCTCAAGGTTGACCTTCTAGACCTCAGCAGGGGAGGAGGCAAAACTAGAACTTGTGCCTCTATAAGTCACTGGCTCCAGCACCACCTACTTTTGTATTCTATACCTTTTGTCCTACCAGTCCCAAGGGGGCACCAGGCACTACTGCTCACTTATAAATGTTTAAGAAATATTTAAAATAAAATGTAGTGCCAATGATATATTATTATGCCTTTTAAATGATGTAGATAAGCAAGGGACATTCAAGGAATATTTGAATTCTTAAAGGAATTTTTAAATATATATATATGTATTTTAAGTCAGGAACTTTTCAAGAAACTTTTAGGACACACCTTTTGGTTATTTTAAGTTGTTTTAGACTTTGTGTTTCAAAGTTGTAACCCACCCTTGGACCTCACAGTGAAGAGCAAGTAATAATAATAGTAACGACTAGGTTACTGTATATATTAACACTAGCAAGGGTAATGCACATGAAAGTTTGGAAAGGTAGACGTAAACCTAATAATAATTAATGATGTAAATGATGGGAGATGCTGGAAATTTTTAAGTTGACAATAATGTTAAATGAAATGGGATTAAAAAGCTGTTGGAGGCTAGTTGTGCAATATAGAAGCAAAGAGCTCAGAATATCTGGGTTTGGAGAAGGGAAAGGGCCACAGGTGAGTGGTAGAGCACCTGCTTTGTGTATGGAAGGTCTCAGGTTCAACCCCTAGCACTGGGAAAGACTCCAGTCTGAAATTTTGGGGAGAGGTGGTTTATTATGACATAAGCCAGGGTTGGGGATAGGCCAATCTTGGCCTGTGAGGCCATTATTTCAGAAACTATGCCCATTGTTGCTATTCCAATGGTGGGAGAGGTATGATTCTGAATTGGCTGCATGCATCAGTTACTCTATTGGGAACTGGCACACATAGCCGAAGCAGCAGGGTTTAATCTCCGCTCACCAGCTGATGAGTAGGAATTAAATTCTGCACCACTGGGCTGTTCATGCCTCTTCCCCTACTGGAAACAGCCATGAGCAGTCAAATCTCAATGTTGGGCTGTTTGAAAGCCCTTTTGCAAAGAGCCCTGTGCTGTTCAAAGAGCAACAAAGTTCTGGTTGCAAAAGAGCTTTCAAACAATTCCACACTGAGTTCCTATAGTCAGGGCTTGAGAGTTCAGTATAACCTGGTACCATATTGACTTCAGATGACTGACAGGTAGATGGCCTCTGGGTTGGGGAGATAAGGATTTGGCTTGCTGGTCAGAAAATGTTCTCCACTTCTAGCACAAACTTTCAGGGACAGCACATGAAGTGCTATTTGAGCTACAGATTGGTGTAGGCATCACTGGGCTAGATGGACCACTGGTCTGACTTGGTATAATAGCTGCTTCCTATGTTCTTACATCATCAATAAATGTTGATGCTTGACTGATTTTAGGTGATGGCCCATCAGCTATTGGCAATCTTCAGTGGCTGCTACATCAGACTTCTGGTCAGTGGTCAGCTCACAGAGGTCGCTGCAAGACGACATGTATCACTCAACCACACCCCATGCCTGTGCCAATTCGTCGAGACTACAGTGCTGGCAAAGAGATCCTCTTGGTTCAAGCTGAGGTGACCAGTGGTGGATGAAGTGGCCCTTTGCATTAGGCACAGTATTAACCAGAACGGAGACCTAGAACTTGCAAACTGGGGGAAACATTTCACGTGGTTTCTGAATTGGCCACAGTGACACACACCTTAGTTACGCACTATTTGCATTGCTGTAACATGCTCTACATAGGATTGCCTTTGAAAAGTGCTCAGAAACTTCAGCTGGCTCAAAGAGCTGCCAGGTTGCTGTCCCAGGCTGGTTATATGACCTATATGGATTAGGTCCAAGCTATCTGAAATACCACATTCCCTCATAAGAACCTGCCCAGGTTTTGAGAGCTTCAAGGGAGATCTTTCTCTTGGTCCCACCATCCTGACAGGCATACTTGGTGGCGGATGTAGGAGAGGACCTTCTCGGCAGCTGCTGCCAGACTCTGAAACTCCCTCTCCAGAGAAGCCAGGCTGGCTCCCTCCTTGTGGTGTTTCTGCTGACAGGTAAAGTCTTGTTCCAATAGGCTTTGGGGAGCTGACTGCTTTTAATGAAAGGACTGGTGCTGTGCTGTTTTTCATTCTAGCTATTTTTTATTGTAAAGGTAAAGGTAAAGGTAAAGGGACCCCTGACCGTTAGGTCCAGTTGCGGACGACTCTGGGGTTGCGTGCTTATCTTGCTCTATAGGCTGAGGGAGCCGGAATTTGTCCGCAGACAGCTTCCAGGTCATGTGGCCAGCATGACTAAGCCACTTCTGGTGAACCAGAGCAGTGCAGGGAAACACCGTTTACCTTCCCACCGGAGTGGTACCTATTTATCTACTTGCACTGGCGTGCTTTCGAACTGCTAGGTTGGCAGGAGCTGGGACCAAACAATGGGAGCTCACCCCGTCGCAGGGATTTGAACTGCCGACCTTCTGATCAGCAAGCCCTGGGCTCTGTGGTTTAGACCATATAGTTTTAATTATATTTTATTTTATAAAATGTAATTTTAATGATTAGTTTATCTGTGATTTTAGCTGTGTTTATTTTTTATCAGTAAGCATCCTTGAGTACCTTTAGGCAAAGAGGTGGGGTACAAATATAAAAGTAGTCACCACCATTGTTCTCCATATACAACAAGTGTCCAGCAGTAATTTTCTGGATGCATTTTTGTCATCTCCGTTAAGGAACTACTGTGAAATGAAATGAGATCAGTGGCCTGCCTAGCACAGAACTGGCAAAATTTCTCCAACCTCCTGTGCAGACATCCAACAAGCCATGTCAATAAGAGATGATCACAAATCGCTTGTGCGATTTTGCAATATTTTGCTTTCCATGGCTCCTGTTGGGTAACAATAGTGAAAGATGAGAGATCCCCCCCCCACACACACATAGCGGCATAGCTCCCAAGAGAGGCAAAAGCAGGATAAAGGGACAATAATATTTTTACCCTCCCTCCTTTGCTCTTTCTGTGTGAGATAGTTGCTTGGGATCCCCACCTACCCACAACACACACCTCACGGTTTCCTCTCCTTGGAGACAGGGGTGAAATCTACTGCTGGTGATTTTTATGACTGGCTAAGCAGAGAAGATAGACAGAAGTCATTGGAAATTCAGTGATGTTATTGTGTGCAACAGAAAGAAGACTGCACCATAGCCTGGGAAGATCTTTTGGGTTCAGAACCTTGGTAGGGCTATGCCCTACTTTGCCCATAAGAGTAGCCTCCCTGGTTTCAGCATTATTTCACTTTCCTGGGCCCCTTTTGACAATATAGGGCAAGATATTTCCCATGGGGCATTCCGTTGCGTTTTGGTTTTTTCACTTGCAAAGACCCTGACTCTTGAGATTCTTCAAGCAGAAATATCAGGGGGTCATGAACCCATGACTGTCATTCCTGGAAGCATGAGCTCTTATCCATGAGCTATCGGTATATCATAAACACTTCCCACACACAGAGTTGAAAGTGTGGGCTGAAGTGGACTTTATAGGTTTTCCAGACCACCCTGTGATATTTGCTGTAATAGTCAGGCTATTTCCCTGTACTATAATTGCGCTTTTGCAATGCAACTCATAATTTTTGATGGGGAAAATAAAAAAAAACCATCAAAGACTAATAACAATATAACATAGCTTTTAATTAGTACAATTTCCTTTTCATTTCACTTCCAATTAAATCATTTTATAATTTCATCTACGGGCATCACAGGCAGAGGGGTTTTCGGACACATTCATCTCCGCTGAAAGGGGAGTTTGTGAATCTGTCTTCATTATGGTCTGTGATGATGCAAGAGGGTGTGGACTTGCTGACATCATAGTTGCTTGAGGGGAAGCAGTGCAGGATCTTGTCCCAGGGAAGACACTCCTTGTAGGCTTTTAGCGTCATCTTCTAATAGGCTGACTTTGGACGGGAAGGGTACATGTTGCTGGTGGCTCAGCTCTTCCAGATGAGGCATGTCATGTAGTTACTTGTACAAAGGGAGGTAAAATTAGAAGCAATTAGTAGCCAGTTTTGGCTGAATTTGGGATTCAGCTGAATCCCATGGTTCAGCTGCCTTGGAAGCCCCACCCCACCACCACTTTGTTCAAGTATTATGAACAATGGAAGGGGGGGGGGGAACATTCTCCCTATCCACTTTCTCCACATAGTCTCATACACTTCTAACACTCTCCTCCTCTTTTCACCTTTTTTTCTAAATGGAAAAATACAAAAACATTGCAAACTTCCTTCTCACTGGGAGAGCCTCCAGCCTGGGAGCCAAATGCAGACCTCCAGGCCTCTCCAGCTGGCCCTTGCAACTCTTCTCAGGCAGTAGCCCCTCCCCCAGTCCCCCCCACCTGCTTTGCACTGTCCCTGGGGATTTTTCAGTGGCTGGGATACAGTCACTGAACTATGATATCACCTCTTGCTTTCCTGGAGCAACAGTTGTCCAGAAGGTAATGTGGCCCTCAGCCTGAAATTGATTACCCACCTCTGCTCTAGCCCTTTGTTTTCTTGGGGGGGGGTAGGTGGTTTTCGCTTTTATGCACCTTTTCCACCTCTGCTACACATCTTTTCCAAGAGTCCCTTTGGAGAATGGCTATTTTTGTCATGCTTCCCAAAAGCATCTGATCTGCTTCTGCTTTGGAATCATGCTGCTGGACCAGAAGGGCCTTTGGTCTGGTCCAGTAGGGTTCTTCTTAACCACAGCTGCAGGGGTTGGAAACTTATGGCCCTCTGGATATTAAGATTCCAACCCCCACCAGCTCCTGCCAATGACCAACACCTGGCTTATGCACAACACCTGGCTCCCCATCTCTGCCACAGAGAGTCTCCAGTTCCTCCTTACCTGGTTTCTCATTTGGCTCCTGCTGTTGCTCCTCTTTGCTTTGACAGCAGCAGCAGCATTCCCTAATTTTAGCTGCCACATAGCCGCAGGCTGTAGACCATGGAAATAAAAGGAAAGTCAGATGGAAATTTCTGCATGCAGTCCGCATAACTCAGCTTTCAATTTTTGAAAATGGGGGTTTGCAACAAGAGAAGAGTTGGGTGAAAAGAAGATGTAGAGAAGGGGCTGTTGTAGTGCTGGGATAATAAAATATGCCCTCTAGTTTGTCTTCTGCTTTGCAAAGTGCTCCTTGTGAACTATTTGTATGACATGATTGAGTGACTGTATTGATTACTGTGAATCGACCCATTCATAATGATTAAGATGTGACATAGCTTAACTTATGAGAATAAAATAAGCTTGACAACTCTTAATGGCTGGAATGCTCTCTGTAGTCTTTGGAACGAATGTCACACCCATCAAAGTTTGGAGAAAGTGCTCAGCAAAATTTTTGATTTAAGCAGAGGGAGTCTGACAGCTGGAGGGTTTGTTTCGTTTAAGAATTAACTATAAGTGGGAGTGGGGCTGCTACTGTTGCTTCTTGGGAAGAAGATGCAGGATTGACAGTTGTGCTATTTGCTTTAGAACTCTGATTGCTTTCAATATCTTCAGCACGTTTAATTGTAGAGAACAAAATGCAACAACAAAATATGTACAAGAGGAAAAAATCACTATAAATTTCTTGCATACCAGTTCAACTTGAGGAGACAGTCTCTGTAAACTGATGCACTCTGTATAGGACTTCCTACTGCCAAAAACAAACTTGTATGACTCAGTCTTTCCACATCTCTTGTTTTTATTAGCAATATGTTCCTGGTCAGCCACATCTAGATAGTTTACAAAGCCAGACTTCCGGTGCTAATCACCATGGTGAACAGCGGGTCCCAAGATAGCAGACACCGGCCATGCAGCCAATTAAGGATAATGTGAGAGTAATTATCCTTGCAAGACGGGGGTTGTGGGGGGGAGCTTTCACTCACAGTTCATCTGATACCTGCCTCTCGCTCCGATGGAATGTGGGGGGCAGGGACACTGAGTGTATAGCACTGCATGTATCGGAAACTCTGCAACGCAGCCACCATGAGCGGAAGTCCTTCTGTTTTTTAAGATGTATCAGAATTTGGACTTAAGAAACAAGCATGTTCTGAATGAAGGAGACAAGATAACCTGCTAAATGAACCAGCCACAGAGTGCCAAGGTCTCGATCTGGAGAAGATTTTCATTGTTATTGGATTGGTATGTTGGTAGAGAGGAGCCTTTGTTCTCTCTTTATATATTCACTATGCCATTTTATGTTTCGGCAACTCTTCACCAAAGAAAAATTAGCTACTAATGGAATGTCATTAATAATGGATTGCAAATATTAATGGAATGCAAGAGGGAATTAACAAGAACTTTATAATGCTTATGGATTAATTAAAAGAACAGAACTATGTGGAAACATTGAGATGTTTGGTGGCAATAGTCCCTAAGGAGGACTCTAGCTTTGATTTATTACGGTGTTGGCGAGATATCAGCTTGTGATCGGACGGGAAAGAAATCAAAGAAAATGCTGGAAGTCTTCCTGGAGTAATGGCCAGACACAAGACCTCTTTTGGTTTTGAGAAAAGCAAGATGGCGAGAGGCCTTTATGCAGCAAAAATGAGTCCTTGGAGTGGGGGGGGGGGGGATGCTGAAAATGTTTGAGTACAGCAAGAAAGGAAGGACGAATGTTTAGAAAAAAGCATTCCACACAGAAAGTTACAAGACTTGAACTCCTCTTGCAAAATAAAGGCTATGGAATAAATACAAACAAAAGTCATCACATCAGTGTTTGTTCAAACAAAGGATCAACATTGGAATTGTATTGTTTGGATTAGTAGGCACAAGGAATAACAACACCTGCCAAAAATCAGAACATGGGAAGTCATCCAAAATGTTTAATTTGGAATCGGATAATTGGCTCTTTTAATTGTATTATGATTTGGTATTGTATTAATGTGGTTTATATTGGATTCTTATTAATGAAAAAGTAATAAAAATTAGATAGTTTACAAGGCCACACCTAAATAACAGTTGCGGTTGTGATGATGGGATGCTCCATCATTCCATTTCCTTATGGTTCAGTGAGTTCACTCTGCTCAGCGTTCCAGGCTTGCTGAAATCATTTTTAACAGTGGTTGGTGGGGCTGTAGAGACAAGGCAGCACTATTCGCCTGGCTGCCCAACAGCAAGCATCACGTCCAGTTACTGAGAGGTAGAGGGAGTGAGGTGCGGGGAGCTCAGCAACGTGCAAGCATGACAGCACCCCCAGTTCAATGCTCTTGACTCTCATCCCACTAGGTAACCAGCAGCAACACCTGGCATTGGAAAGTCAGGCACCCTGATTGTGCCACCTGCTCCTACCTTTAAACAAATAATAATTCCAGAATTGGAGCGTGTGCCTTCTGCAGCAATTTTCACTTCACACGCTCTACACATAAATGCTTCAAATGAGCAAAGACATGGCTGCAGGTACAAAGTCCTATGAGGAACTGTTGAAAGAGTTGAGTAGGTTTATCATGGAGAAGAGACTGTTAAGAGGAGACATGGGGAGAGCTGTCTTCAAATATCTAAAGGACTGTCAGTCACACAAAAGGTGGAGAGGTTGGGGTCACATCCGCACCATACACTTAAAGTGCTCTTAGACCACTTCAATAGGCATGGTTTTCCACAAAGAATCCTGGGAACTGTAGTTTGTTAAGGGTCTCCTAACAATGCCCAGAATGTTTAATAAACTATAGTCCCCAGAATTATTTGGGTGGAGGAGTCATGGCTATTAATGTAGTATAGGAATATATGAGAGGAATGTATGCATTAGGCAAAACTGTGTATAAGCATGTGTGTATTCACACCCCAAATGATGATTTTTTAAATGCTCAAATGGTGATGAATTTGCACATGGATTTAAATAATGGAATCATTGAGGTGGAAGGGACCACAAGGGCCATCTAGTCTAACCCACTGCAATGCAGGAATCTTATGCCCAATATGAGGCTCGGACCTAAGATCCTGAGATTAAGAGTGTCATGTGCTACCAACTGAGCTACACCAGTGGCAAACTGATGTGGAAATGTAGAGAACTGAACTTGGAAAAAATGAGGAACTGAGAGAAACGGAAAATAACAGATTTCCCCATCCCTAATGACAGGACACATGCCTTGCTTACAACAGATGCCCACTTCTATCCCTGCCATCTCCAGCTAAAACATAGATGAGGTAGCAAATAATAATAATAATAATAATAATAATAATAATAATAATATTTTTTTATTTATACCCTGCCCTCCCCAGCCAAGGCACTAACAGGGCGGCTAACAAGCAATAATAAAAACAAGTTGAATGATTACAACTTAAAACAAAATTAAAATACAACATTAAAATATTGAAACATTAAAATGTTAAAATGTAGCCTCATCGCAGGAGGAGAAGGAAAAGAAAAAAGAAAGAGAGGGAAGGAATCAAATTGGCTCCAAGCCAAAGGCCAGGTGGAACAACTCTGTCTTACAGGCCCTGCGGAAAGAAATCAGATCCTGCAGGGCCCTGGTCTCGTGAGGCAGAGCGTTCCACCAGGCCGGAGCCAGTGTTGAAAAGGCCCTGGCTCTGGTTGAAGCTAATCTAACTTCCTTAGGGCCCTGGACCACTAGGGTGTTGCTATTTATGGACCTTGAGGCTCTCCGTGGGGCATACCAGGAGAGGCGGTCCCATAGGTACGAGGGTCCTAGGCCATGAAGGGCTTTAAAGGTCAAAACCAGCACCTTAAATCTGACCCTGTACTCCACCGGGAGACAGTGCAGCTGGAAAAGCACTGGGTGAATATGCTCCCATGGCAGGGACCCCATGAGGAGCCTCGCTGCAGCATTCTGCACCCGCTGGAGTTTCTGGGACAGCTTCAAGGGCAGCCCCACATAGAGCGAATTACAGTAGTCAAGCCTGGAGGTGACCATCGCATGGATCACTGTGGCCAGGTCGGGGCGGGAAAGGTAAAAGGAAAGACCTCTCTCTGCCTGAGGAGAACCATTGTCAGTAGGGGTAGATAATTGGTTTTCAGCTGGATTTCCAAGATTTACCACCAGGTTATGGCCTGATCTAAGGGTCTCTCAGCAGCACCACAACCACCACTCGAATGCATGGTGAAAAAAAAGGGAAAAGGGCAAGGAAAAAGCTCTATTGATCAATATTAGATTTTAAACCATTTTGTTAATAAGTGTGGTAATGGGCCTAAGAAACCGGGGGTGGAGGCGTTGGAGGGATCTTTGCACCATGGCCCTGGATATGCTTAAGACGGCCCTGCCTAGCAGTTGGTACTAGAGCAGAGCCTGGCATTATGCCTGTACAATTTTGTATTTTTATGGTTTTACTTATGTACCATTTTAATCTTTTTAATATTGAAAGCTTTAGAATTCCTAAAAAAATATTTTATGCAACAGCTACAATCGCATAAGGTGACTACCCGGGTAGCAAATTGTGAACAACAATTTTTAGCTTTTGATATAATTCTCCAGCTTCTTAAAAAGTGGACTCTAGATTAGACTCGAATATATATAGAGAGAAAGTTTGGGGGGATTTCCATTCCCAACAAGCTCTACAGGCAAATCCAGAAATATTTGTTCTCTCCAGTTACATTTTCTTAAATCAACATATGTAATGGAGAATTATATAACAGTTCATTTAGAAAAGTATTTCTGGCTTTGCATTCCAAGACTGTGTCTTCACAATATTTAGAGAGACTATAGCAAAATATGTATGGAAGTGAGAGCTGGACCATAAAGAAGACTGATTGCCAAATAATTGATGCTTTTGAATTATGGTGCTGGAGGAGTCCCATGGACTGCAAGAAGATCACACCTCTCCATTCTTAAGGAAATCAGCCCTGAGTGCTCACAGGAAGGACTGATCCTGAAGCTGAGGCTCCAATACTTTGGCCACCTCATGAGAAGAGAAGACTCCCTGGAAAAGACCCTGATGTTGGGAAAGTTTGAGGGCACAAGGAGAAGGGGACGGCAGAGGACGAGATGGTTGGACAGTGTTCTTGAAGCTACCAGCATGATGAGTCTGACCAAACTGCGGGAGGCAGTGGAAGACAGGAGTGCCTGGCGTGCTCTGGTCCATGGGCTCACGAAGAGTCGGACATGACTAAGCAACTAAACAACAACAAATAGCAAAATACTGGTAGAACAGTGTTTTGCATATGTGATGCTGCAGCAGTAGAATATCTTTATCATTATTTACTGTACTGCTCTTTGTATTCTGAGCCAAAGGCAAAATTTATTCTGAATTTTTTATGTAAGATATCTGATGGTGATGATCAAGTGAAAATCATATATTTGCTATCTGATTCTGACAAATTTCTGAATGGATGGTTTAATAGGATGGTCTAATGTATCAGGTTTTTAACCTTTGGTGTTTCATTTTATTTTACCTTTTTATATTTTTTTGGTATATTTTAATGTAAATATATATTTTGGTCAATGTTGTTTTTTTAAAATATTGCATGAGCGTATATATTTTTTCTGTGGTTGATTTGACCATGATGTTTGAACCAACAATGATAAGCAATAAACCAGAAAAAAAATGAAGGAGGTCCTCAGAAACAAGTTTGGGTTAAAGGTAAATAGCAGGTTGGAATGCGTTGAAGGCAGTAGACTACAGAACCTAAGGAAGGATATAAGTTCTTCCCAGAGTGCTCCTGAAATACTTCAGTCTGGAAGTAGTTCAAGGAGCTGGCCAGTTTTTAGTTTGGATTAAAACTGTTCACTCTGACAGAGAATTGGTACCTTGAAGCAGCTGTGTGACCCAGCAAACACACATCCCACCCTTCTCCCTTTGCCAGGGGAAAGACTAAAAATAGATCTACGGGGACAAAAACCGCAGCTGAAACACCAGCTCCTCTTTCCCTTTGCTCTCAGGTACTGAAAAAGCTCTTTTGTAACCAAAAGTCACCTGGGCTTTAGATAAAGCTGTTCTTCACTTACCGTGAGCAATAACTCAGGCCATGTTTCCTGTGGGTGCAGATGGGTGCTCTCTCTCTCTCTCTCTCTCTCTCTCTCTCTCTCTCTCTCTCTCTGCAGTCAACAGGTTTACAGCAAGAAAGCTGTTGCCACTTATTTCCTCCTTCTGGTAACACATTACATTTGTTCCTCACCAGAGGGCGTTGCCCCAGTAACCTAGTCACATGTGGGTGACAGTTAGCAGGATGGGTGTTTTGTGACTCATACAGTTGCTCTGTTTGCTTCACTTTAGGGTAAGGAGGAGAGGGGATCTGGTTTTGTCTGTGAAGCTTTCCTGTGTGAGGATTGAGGGAGTCAGCTGGTGGGGGACTTACCCGAAGAACCAGCATCTGACATCTGGTGGAAACACTTTAAAAATCCAATCTTACCTGTGCAACCTGTTTATTCAGTGCTAAGTCCTATTTCCCCCCAATGCAGAAATGTGTTAGGCAGCTGCAGCCTTTGTCAGATTTCACACATGCTGTTTAAAGCTAGTTTGAGCCTCTCTCTCCTCTTGGGGAATTTATTTTATTATAATTTTTTTATTAAGAAATTTTATTAAGAAAGAAATATATATACAGTGGTACCTTGGGTTACATACGCTTCAGGTTACATACGCTTCAGGTTACACACTCCGCTAACCCAGAAATATTACCTCGGTTTAAGAACTTTGCTTCAGGATAAGAACAGAAATCGGGTTCCAGCAGCACGGCGGCAGCAGGAAGCTCCATTAGCTAAAGTGGTGCTTCAGGTTAAGCACAGTTTCACATTAAGAACGGAGCTCCGGAACGAATTAAGTACTTAACCCAAGGTACCACTGTATATAGAAACAAACAGGAAGCAATAGTACAAGGCTGAGTAAATCAAGAGAGGTAAGCACAGAAACCTGTCAAAATAAATGGTGCACAGTACTTGAGCTTTAGAAATGCAGTACTTGAGCTTTAGAAACAACATCAAACTAAGGTCACCTGCAACTTCATGTTCTTGGTGTTTTAAATGCACCAGTATCTATTTACAAAATCCACTGAGGACCATTAAAGAAGGTGGCTGTACAATGAAAGAAGGTGGATATACCTTCCCACATAGTATGTGTTTTACCAGGGATTTGAACTGAAGGCTTTGATTAGTAGTTCATTGCCAGTCTTCTATCCATTATCCTGTCTTCACCTAAAGTTGTATACAGCTGTGAACAACTTTTAAACATTTTCAACACCTCCTTCCTGTAAGTGATGAAATCTGTTCATTTAGAAACACATACCCTGCCACCACCTGTATTGTCAATTCTCTGCTTTGTGGTGAAACAGATAGCTAAAGTAAAGGACCCCTGGACGTTAAGTCCAGTCAAAGGCGACTATGGGGTTGTGGTGCTCATCTTCATCTTCAGACCAAGGGAGCCAGCATCTGTCCACAGACAGCTTTCCAGGTCATGTGGCCAGCATGACTAAACCGATTCTGTTGCAACGGGACACCGTGACGGATGCCAGAGCGCACAGAAATGCTGTTTACCTTCCCACCGCAGTGATACCTATTTACTCACACTGGCATGTTTTCAAATTTCTAGGTTGGCAGAAGCTGGGACAGAGCAACAGGAGCTCACCCCATCACATGGATTCGAACCGCCAACCTTCCAGTCGGCAAGCCCAAGTGGCTCAGTAGTATAGACCACAGTGCCACCCACGTCCCGGTGAAACAGATAAGATTAGTGGAAAACCGCTTCATTTTCATCCATTTCCTTCACTACAGCTGCCCTTAAACATTCTTTGCTGGAAACTTCTATAAGATTCATTCAAGCCAAGACTGCATTCTTATTCTCTCCCTCACACACACACCCCTTGAACTAACAAGGCTTTCCATCAATCTTGTTGGTTTCACTGGACAGCTGGTGAAGGTTGGTAGGGCAGGGTAGAAGCAGGACTGTGCACACGCTCAGCCCGAATCCTGGACTGAATATGGCCAATAGGGGTCAACCTGAGATTCAGCCAGAGTGGGTTGAGGGAACCCAAGATCTTGCAAGGTCAGATCAGGTCCACCTGGAACCATAGGAGCCAACTCTTAGGGGCTGAGGTCCCTTTGTCCCTCCCCCAAAAGGTGATGGGCATTCCCATTCAAATGGTGTGTGTATGCTGTGTTTTGTGATCAATTATGTGGGGTGGGGCTTACCTGTCCCCCAATATTTTATTCAAGTTGGCACCCCTGCCTGGAACAATCCTGGAACCAAAAGATGTGGGGCAACCTGGTAGCAATGAGAGGGTGTGGTGGAAAAAGACACACATAGGCAGCCTGCAGGTGCCTCGTTCTTCCTCCTCCCAACTACATGATTAATTAGGCTTTAAAATGGAGAGTCTTCAAACTGGTCTGGGGCCAGAATCTGGGTTGGGTCGGCCCTGGATCCAGATGTGGATTTGCAGAACCCTAGGTAGAAAGATACTCTGTGGGACTACATCTGTGTCAAATGTGGGGCTATCTGGACAGAAATATCGGGAAAGGCCTTCTGTAGCTGAAGAAGGGCATATGCCGTGGGAACAGGATAACTGGTAAATTGTGTTGATGCTCATTGACTGAAATGAGGGGATGATTACTGAGTAATGCTTTAAATGTGCATTTGATGTTTGTTCAGGATTTCATCAGGAAGCATTGCTTAACCATCTCCCTAGAGACTGTGTTGCAAGAGCTCACAGAGCAATTTCTTAACAGCTTCTTTATTTTTACATGCCTGCTGCTTGCTTAGACTTGTTACTCACAGCAGTTTTTGTTCAGTTGTTCTCATTTGTCAAAATTGAGTGCTACAGAGATCATCACATGCCAGTTCTCCAGAATTCCATGTGCTATCCGGGATAGCCCTGTAAGAATCTTCGTTCTCCATCCACTAAAAACAGAGCAACACTTGATTTTAGCAGGCTGCACCACATTGCAGATATTAATATTGTGCAGTTTCAAGCGACGGGCAAAATGACATCATGCACATGTGCAGAAGTGGCAAATCGCAACCTGCGCATGCGCAGACACTCTGCTGCAGGTTGCACTCTTTCCATGTTGTGAACGGGCCTCCGGAACCGATCCCGGTCGCAACCAGAGGTACCACTGTATTCCAGTGGAATCACCCCATGTTAAACTTTTTCAGTAATTTGCATTTAGACATTCCACATTCCAGTGTCAATGAAATGATTATACATAACACACCACACTTGCACACAGGGGCTCCTTGTGTGAGGTTTGTGTAACAGAGGGCTGATTGGGACACATGAAAAGTTCTCAAATGTGACACTAGATGGTGTGAGTGAGCTAATGAAAAATTCCATATTTTTTTAAAAATATTTTTTAATAAAAGCATTTCACAGTTCTCAGTGGTATCTCGTATCCTTTGGCACTGGGGCGGGGGGGGGAGGAAGGGAGGCCAATAGTAGGTGGAGTCACAGCCAATGGCTGGCAAAGGAACCATGACTGGTTGCAAGTAAGAAGCTGCGGAAGGTAGGCTGGGGTTGGTGGGGCAGAGCCCTTATGAACTCGCCTCTGCTGAGAATGCTGCTGAATCAGACCAAAGGCCTACTTGTGTTGTGTTGCTATTTAACTACCGTATTTTTCACTCCATAAGACACACGTTTTTCCTCTTAAAATCGAAGGGAAATGTCTGTGCGTCTTATGTGTGGTCCCTGGGGCTGGGGGGGGGGGACCTGGGCTTCCCCCGCCAGCCCCGACAAGCTCTTTGGGGCTGGCGATGGCTTTCCCCAAAGAGCAGGTTGAAAGGAACCCGAAGCCTCCGGACCGCAGCGGGAACTCCCGCAGCACTCTGGAGGCTTTGGGTTGCCTTCACTGAAGGCGACTGAATGCACCTTGAATGCACTGAATGCACCTTGTTTTAGAGGGGGAGAACAAGAAAAAAAAATTCTCCCCCTCTCTGTGCAGTGCCCCTTCAGCGAAGCAGCAGGAGAAATGGAAGGGGCATTTTGAACATTTCATGTTCAAAATGCAGCGTCTCCCAGCCCGCACAGATTAACCTAACCTCAGTAAAGTGCCCTGCCTTACCGATTTTCGTTTCCACTGTACCATCTTAGTGGAGCAGTTCAGTTGTTCCAAACACATTTTCTCCATGACGCTCACTGCATCAGGGTTGTCAAGAGGCCTTGAAGTGAGTATGTGGGAAAGTGCAGAGGATTAGACAGGAAGGTGACAAGTGTCCTGACTTATGAAAGTGATGAATTATTCATAATCGCTCTTACAATTAATTCAGGAACTTCAAAGAAGGATTGTTGGTGACGCTGAAACAGCAAACACTTATTTTCTTTTCTGCTAAAAGTCATGACGAGGTATTATGACACAGCTTTCATTATTATTTTTTAATCACACATCTGGGGAATTTCCTAGAATATCCTGTTGTACTACTGAATTTGAATGTCCTGCTCCTGTTTCCAGAAGGGTAGCCATGTATAGCAAATGGCCTCGGAGCACCTTAAAGTAAAATAAGAACAGATACAATGTGAAATGCTACCAAACAAATAATTAAACTTTAAATATCTAGATCTATATTTTGACATGTTTTGTTTCTGACTGTTCTCTGTGGGTTTGGACACCTCTTAAGATAGCATAGTGAGATTTGTCATGATGGTTCCTGATGTGGAGCAGCTTTCAGGTTCATGTTTGGATAGAAGCATATGTCATCTTGAATCAAGATGGTGGACTGAAGCTTTCAAGCCTACATTGATTTGCAGGTCCAGTCAGCTTCCAGATGCTGGAATTCCTGCCCAAAGAAACCAAGACTCCTTGGGAATAAGGGGCTATTCATGAGGAAGCTGCTTCTCTTGAGTAGACAACAGTCCTCAGGCAATCCAGATGGCTTGCACAGCTGTACTCTGGGTGGGGCTCCAAAGTCTCATGATGAAAAGCCTCCAGTTCTTAGCAGAGAATGCTGGAACAACCTTGTATGAGCTCCTTGGCAGGGACGTCTTTACCATTGAGAGAAGTGGTGCAGTGAGGCAGGGTGTCAAGCAGTGGAGGGGGCCAGGCGGAGAGTCCAGGGAGGGGAGAGCAGGGAGGTAAGCAAGGCGGAGCAGGGGCTTGGTGACTGTCGGAGGCACTAGGACCCTGTTCCGTTCTGCAGCGCCAGGGTCATCCCTCATCCCAGCGCTGTTTCCTCATTTAGCACCTGATCAATCTCCCCGCTGATTGAGTCTACCGAAACCTCGTTATCTTGTTAACTCTTTCATAACCTGGATGAAATGTAACAAGTCAATGTCAGAGTATTTCCGAAACCTGTCGACTTTAAGAAAAAGCCTCAAAACTTTGGAAATTCATATAAAATCACTAGTTCCACCGATTTGCTTCATTACAACGCCATTTAATACCTTTGGCCAAGGACTTCAAACCCCATCAGTTCCCGCCAGGATCCCTCAGGCATGCAGTCACGTGCGCAAGCTCTTCTGGGCAGCCCCATTGCCACTGCGGAGCGCTCCTTCGGCTCACCGGGTCTCGCCTGGTGAATGGGGCTTGGGCTACAGGGCACATACCAAACTTTCTGTGGGATGGCCGCCCCTGGAGCCTTTCCAGTGATTGCCACAGAGAAGCCCGTTTATTTATTTCTTGGAGTATTTTAATCATAGTATCACAGAACTGGACGGTTGGAAGGGACCCCAGAGGGTCCTCCAGACCAACCCCCTCCGGTGCAGGAATCACAGCGCAAGAATCTCTTAGAAAACAAGTTTGCTCCATCTTCCCTGTGAACAGCCCTTCAGATACAACAGAATAACAGAACCATTCACACAGTTGGAAGGGAACCACCAGGGTCATCTAGTCCAACCCCCTGCAATGCAGGAATCTTTTGCCCAACATGGGGCTTGAAACCACAACCCTGAGATTAAGAGTCTGGTGCTATACTGACTGAGGTATATCTAAGTTCAGCATTTTTTTCCTCATTTTGGTGCCAGGTGAAGCTATGCCATTTTGCTTCAACAATTTAAGACCAGGAGTGACTTGTCAGATTTTGGCTGGCCCACATGAACCCGAGACTATATATGTGTGTATCTAGGTGCATTGTTAATAAATAAGCAACTAAAAAAAGTTTGTTTATGCTTCCTGTTTTCTTTTCCCAAGGAGAGATAATGTGTAAGCGTGGTGTCAGCTCCCTAGAAAAAGGTCAACAACTCTGGGGAACCTTTCCAAAAAGGTTCTGGGAAGTGGGGGTGGGTGGGCGTCGGAGGGATCTTTGCACCACGGCACCGGATATGCTTAAGACGGCCCTGTTCCTTGATGTACCATGCAACCAAATTGGTCACATGAGTTCCATGTGTTTAGACCTTGGACTGCTTCTGGACCTTGTATCTCATGATACCCTTATGCTTTGACTTTGGACCATGATGAGATCTTGCTTTTTCGATTGCTCTTGCGAGTTGACTTGGGACTGCTGGATTTGGCATCATCTGAAGCAGGACAGTAACTGACTTTTGCATGACGTTTCCTGAGATCAAAGATAAATATTTTGTCTATATTTGGATACATTTAGGTTCTACTTTGAATCAAGACAGTAGATGGACCCTTTGCAATGAATTTAACCAAATTTTGCAAGATTGTATATTATAGGTTACCCAACAGCATGGGAATGAAAATGTGTTTTTTCCATAAAGAAACTAAGAAAAGAAGTAATCCATTTTAAAGTTGCAGTATTGTTTGGTTTCTTATAATTCCTGAACAATGGTACATCTTTAAACAAATACTTTCCCTGAAAATAGCACAGGGTTCTTACTTAACTCCATTATCTGTTTCATTTATACATCAAGGTGCCTCTCGCCTATGTTGAAAGGGGTGCCAGGACATTGGGACCTACTGACATATGGATGGGACTACACCAAGGTTAACAGGTTTTGGACAAGGAGGTTCTCAGGAATCTCTTTGAAAATTGGGCAAGTGGTTCACCTTGTTTGGCACTCTTCCCTTGTTTGGCACTCTTGAATTTATTTGTGGATCCAGATCCAGACTTGAAGAACAATGAATTAGTTTTGTATCTCTTGATAGCTGCCTAGGCCACAGTGGCCAATTTCTGGAACAGTTTTGATCTTGCTCATTTGAAGTACTGGTATTCCAAGACTTGGCAAATTGCCCTCCTTGAAATAAAAGGTTTGCATAAATTAAAAGTGCTTCAAAGTGTTCAAGACCATTTAATTGCTTAAGTATTATTTCATAGACAAAAGTAGCAACTCCTGAACATCAGGTCCCACAGATTTGTGCCACTCTCTGGATTTTGTATTCTTCAAGGTTCTTTTTTCTTCCTTCCTTCTATACTGGACCACCAAGCCTTTTGTGTATTCTTTTTCTGATTGTACTTTTTGTTACTGATGTAGTAAGCCTCATGTCTGGGCTATATATCTTTTTCTTTGCAATTGCAGTTTTTATTTAGTATATGGACTATTTTCTTTCACTTGTTTTTATTGCAATCTGTTAGGTTTATGAAATTCAATAAAATATATTCAGGACCAAACAAAGCAAATACCATACATAAATCATGGTGACTGTCACTAGACGGTGCTATTACACAAACTCTCTTTTACTAAGCGTATCCATTGTTATGATAAAATGCTTGTAGTTCAAGAGTCAACAATGATGGGGACAGCTCTGAATAGCTTGGGACCAGGTTGCCTAGGAGCCCACCTCAGCCCATATGGGAGGGTGCCAAGATGTTAAAGGATCTGCATCCCAAGCCTTATGAAGAACGTTGAGGTAAGTTTATCTGAGAGAAGATTGAGAGGCAATAGGACAGGCATCTACAAATATCTGAAGGGCTGTCGCATGGAAGATGGAGCAAGTTTGTTTTCTTCTACTCCAGAGGGTAGGTCCCAGCCCTGTGGTTTAGAACACCGAACTGATGAAAACCTTAAGAGAGGAGATTCTGACAAACCCTTAGGAGGAATTTTCTAGTGGTAGGAGCTGTTGCACAGTGGAACAGACTCCCTTGGAGGTGGTGGACTCCCCTTCATTGAAGGTTTTTAAACAGAAGTTGGAGGCCATCTGTCAGGGATTCCTTAGCTGCGATTCCTGCATTGAAAAGGGATGGACCAGATGACCCTTAGAAGCACTTCCAAATCTACAATTCCATTATTCAACAAACTGTGCCTGGCAACTGTGCTTCTCAGATTCAATACTGCTGAGAGTACCTTGTGCCCCAGAGGTGTGGCTAATATGTAGTAGAAACTGGACTTTTTAAGTTGCAGCTCCAGCCCCCTGGAACCCATTACTACCTGAAATTAGACACCTAGCATCTTAATGCTTAGGTGGCATTTGAGGGAGTCCAGATCTTACAGCATGGTCATCTGAAGAGGGGCTTGTTCCCCAAAGCAGTGCAGTACTGGAGCGCAAGGCATTTCTCCCAGCCTGCCTTCAGCCAGCCTGGCCAAGATGGAACTTTGTCTCCCCCCCTTCTTCTTCCCAGCATGCCTTGCTCAAGAAACTCTTTTCCTGTCACCTTACACCCATTTACCCTGGCAACCTTCCAAATCCCCAGTCTCTGTTCACACCTCAGGGCGGGGGTGGGTGGGTGTGGGTGAGGCAGTTCTCATGCATTGCCAATGGCCCTCAATGGCCCTGTATTTTCCTAATGGACCTAGCTTGGTCAGGTTGCTTTGCATAGGCTAGCCCAGGAGTTCCTCTGCAGCTTGCCATATCCCAAATAATCAAAATCTTACCATTTATTCATTTCTAGGATTTAGGACAAACCCCACCCCTCAAATGTGCAAACATTCTCTCCCTCTCAACATGTGGAATGGCTGTTCCTATGAAATTTTAAATGGGCCTGTCTGTATGAACTATAGTTACAAACCATGTTGATAATAGCACCATAGTCTATAAGAATGAGGAGTCTTTGTGGCCTTTAATTGTTTTATGCAGGCAAAAGATGTGGGTTGAGAGCCTCGGGTCTGGGTGTCAAATGTGGCCAGCCCGGTCTCTCTAGGCTACAGCCCTTATTTGATACCCTCCTTGAGTGTTTTTGCCCAGCTAGAAAAATGGGTGTCCCTCCACATTCCATGATGGGGGGAAATTAACAAACAGGATAGGATATACCACAATTATCCGAGTCCCTCAAACTCTGATAAGGACCCATCTATTCAATTCCCTCCTACTAGACTTTACCATCCACAATGAAGGGAGGGAATTGACAGGACACATAGTTGACTTTGCTGCTCGAAGTGTCTTGTCCACAACCTTGACTGCAACAACTGAAAGAAATCCCACAAACTGTAATCTGGTGGTGCTCCAGGGACCCTCAAGCAAGCTTTGAACCAATTGCAGCAGCAGGTTTGACATGAATATAGATAATAGTTCTGTCAAAGTGAAATGCAAATCTCTCGCAAGAGGTTATTGGGTGATCCATTTTTAATAACGCCAAACTGGTTTGGACCAACTGCTGTGCCACTCTAAGCAGCTCTGCTGGGAAATTCACTGAGAATGCAGTAGAGGCCAAGAGATATGCCCTCTTTGCTGCTGCCACTGCCATGTGGTTTGACTCATATCTCTATTCAGTCAGATTTGTGCCAAGGCTTATACCTTCTAGCCTCTGACTGTCATCTAGCTTGATTTGCCCAGAATTCCTTAGTCTATTGGATTCCCCAAGACTGGACAGGGTGCTCAGGAGATGGCTCTTTCCACCTCTCTGTTCCACACTGAAACTAGAGCTTTGACAAGAAACTAGAACTTTGCACTGGGAATGAACTTTCCTCTGCCATGCATGAATCGCCATCTATTAAGTTCCTTCAGACACCTTGTAAAAGCGCTTCCCCAGGCTTTCCCTGATCCATGAGATTTAGGGCCCTAATATTTAATATTTGGAGTGGAGACAGGTCCACTAGAGAGAATGATGCACTCTACCCTCACACACACACCCCCCACCACCTGCCTGCCTGCCTTCTTACTTATAACTGGCCCGGGGGTGGCCCTGCTTCTCAACTTCTCAGTCGCAGTGTTGCTCTTGTAGAACTCATCAGGGAGAAGGATTCTGAGCTAGACCGACCAAGTGTCTGACAGCATCTGATGTTCCTGTTTAATTCAACCCTTCATTCAGAACATTGAGAACTAGAAGGGTACTTTATTTTTAAGTGGATGAAGTACATGCTTGGCATGCAAAATATCATAGTTCAGACCCCACTCTCCAGGTAGGGCTGTGAAACAACCCTTCCTGAGACTCTAGAGAGCTTGAAAGCATCAAAGGAGAACATCATCATCATCATGTCATCAGGGAGGACATGGAAAAAAGTAGAATCAGTAGACTCTGTTGACTCTAGCGCCACCTACTGTTGGGTTCCCTGCATTCTGTCCAATGAGCGCCAACCATCACTGAATGTGTTCTAAATTTGTTCTTGTAATACTCTTTTACCAGTGCTTTTGATGTTTTCTCTATTTTTATCATGTTGTTTAGTTGTTTCTTTGTAGTACTGATATATATTCTTTGGATATTTTAAAATATTAAGCAGTTTAGAAATGCTTTCAAATAAAGAAATAAATGTAACACATTATAAATTAACTGAAGTTTGTATGTGGTATAATAGTAGTAATAATAATACCCCTAGTCTTCTGTTAAGCGTAGGAGTGCTGGTATGAACTAATATCTTATTTCCTTCCCTCTGACATTCCATGGAGTTTTTCAGGTGATTCAATAACCAAAGTGTATAGAGAGTATGGGCGGCGGCGGGCAGCTGCCACCCCCATATCAATAAAAATCAATAAAAATACATAGGCAACTGAGGTTCTGCCCCACAAAAGGTCTTCTCTCCTAACAAAAATACTGGCTACATCCATGAAAAAGGGAGACAGGGAATCCCCACACACATCTCCTTTGCTGTGACTGTGCCAATTTTCTATTGCATAATATTTTGCAGTGGAAAAAGCTCTCCTCCTGGACAGTTTACAAGACAATGAAATGCATAGCTCTCTGGGGGCCTATGGCTCACAGGGAAAGAGAGTTCTGAAACTCAGCCAGTCTGAAGGAGAGGGGTGGCCCAGGCATTGTAATTTCAGGTGTGTTTGTGAGAGGTTTCCATTGCTCAGATGCGATTCTAAGAAAGCCGATCTGACCGACTGCAATCCAATTTTCTGAGCAGTAAGAACCTGCAGCGGAAAATCTGGGGAAATTGAACAGAAAGGAGAGCTATGATCTCTCAGGTTTCCCTCCTGCTTGATTTTCTTGCCCCCTGCCATACAGATATTGCAAATCACTTATCATCATCATCATCTCCACCATCAATTTTCCTGCTGCGTTTTGCATAACAAAAACTTCAAACATCCCAGTAGATTGCTTTTAAACTGGAATTATCCAGTAAGGTTGTTCTGTACAGTTCTGTTTCAGTTACCTTCTGCCAAAAATCTTTCAATATAGGACAATGAAAAAAACACATGTTCTAGTGAAGCATTATCCCTATTGCATCTCTGTCAGGGAACTGCCATCGGTAGGAAGGGAGGTGAAAGGACTCAGACAGGTTGGAAGAGACTTAGCAGCTGAAGAGGAAACCAGCAGGGGGAGAGAAGCTGAACTGAGGGAGGTGAAAGGGCTCAGACAGGTTGGAAGAGACTTAGCAGCTGAAGAGGAAACCAGCAGGGGAGAGAAGCTGAACTGAGGGAAAGGGAGCTGGGGGATGGCTCAGAGATACTTCCAGCGAAAACAGTGGTGAGGTTTCCGGACCTCCTGTAGCGACACCCACTCCTCGCCGGAAACTGTCACGCAGAGAGTCCAGAAGACGTGTTTCCGTTAAGGAGCTTTTATGTTGGAAGCGATTACGAAAGCAACCACTGTCGGAATCTTCTAGTGACTAAGAGGAGCCATGTCAGAGGGGCTCAGTCACAGACAGAGGTTTGTGGACTTGAACAAACTCTGAGGGAATACGATTTTACGCACAAGCAGCTCATAATCCCATCACAGCATTCCGACAGTCTTTGAACGCAGCTTGTGCAGGAGAAGGCATAATGAGCAACCCAGCAGGAACCGGAGAAGCAGGGGCTGGAGCGGGTCCAAGCCTGGAAGAAAGGTACCGAGTGTTGGAGGTCCAGCTGGCGCTGCAGACGGCGAGGCTGGAGGAGAGGAGGGCTCAAGATGCAGACAAAGGGAGAAAGCCACCCAGCTCGCCAGAAAGGTACCAGGATTGGTGCAAAAATTTGGGGGGGAGCCCAAAGACTATCATAGCTTTCGGACAGAAATGCAATATGCCCTCAATCTGCAGTTTGATGATTTCCCTGATGAGGAATCACGAGTGGCTTTTGTGATTGGGCATCTTGAAAAGGGGGCGAGAGACTGGGTTAGACCCTGATGGCAGCTAATAGTGACGTCTTAAAGGACACGATGAAGTTCTTTCGCGCCATGGATCTGATGTTTTCCAGCGATATTGAAAAGGGAGTGGTGCGCAGACAGTTAATGGCTTGCAAACAGGGGAGCCGATCTGTACGTGAGTACTGGACTGAGTTCACCATGCTGATACACAGATTGGGGTGGGACTTATCGGCGGAACCCATTCAAATGCTCTTTGAAGAAGGGCTTTCTTCGGCTGTGAAAGATGAACTTTCCCGGGCGCCCAGGGCGGAGTCTATGGACCAGCTGACCAAATCAGCGCTGGCCATAGGAGCGCGCCAGGAGGCGAGAGCATTGGAGAGGCGGGAAGGGAAAGGGGAACGTTGGAAGGAGTTCCGCATTCCAGAAATTCCAGAGCCAACTGTCCCGCCGGCAGAGCCGATGGAAATCGGAACAGCGCGCGCGCGCAGTTTCAAAGCCCAGTGAGGGGGAAAGAAGGATGGAAAAGGCGCCCGGAAATGCTATCTCTGCCAACAGCCAGGGCACTTTGCCAGAGTCTGCCCCCAGAGGAAGGAATGGCAAGGGATGGTGGGAGCTGTGGAGGGAAGAGAGGAAAAATACCGGAGCAACTAAAAGCCAACGCCTGGCTGCCATTGTCGGGGCACAGCAGCCAGGCCAAAGAGCAGTGAAAGTGCCCACTCCAGAACCCTCCTAAACCCGCCCTAGTGATAGAAGTGACACTAGAGCTCCCAAACGGACACCCTCTAAAGATAAAGGCGCTGTTGGACTCAGGCAGCTCCTGCAATTTCATGAGCAAAGAGTTTGCAGCTGAACACCAGATACAGACGCTCCTTTAAGTAACCCCCTGCAGGTAACCACGATCGATGGCAGGGAGCTGTTGGGAGGAGAAGTCAGCTTGCAGACCGTCCCAATGATAATGAAGGTGGCAAGGCACACTGAACTGATAGCTTTTAATGTGGCCACCTTGGGAGGAGCTCCCATTATATTGGGGATGAGCTGGCTAGCGTTACATGATCCGCTGGTGGGCTGGCATCAGAGAGTGGTTTCTTTTGGGTCAGCACATTGCTTAGAACATTGCAAAGAGGGAAAGGTTTTGGCAGGGGCCCAAGCCACCCTAGCAGGGACGGAAGTGAAGGAGAACGTGAAGGTACCACGACAATACGCAGATCTCCGCGACGTCTTCAGCGAAAGGGAAGCTGACCAACTACCACCGCATAGAGCCTTTGACTGTCAAATCAATTTGCTCCCTGGGGCACAGCTCCCTGTGGGCAAGCTGTACGCCATGTCAGACAGAGAGATGCAGGAGCTAAGAGAGTTCATTGACAAGAACCTGAAGAGAGGGTTCATCAGAGAGTCCAGGGCGGTGGGGGGGCAGCCCAGTGTTTTTTGTGGACAAAAAACACGAACAAGCCGAGACTGGTGTGTGACTTCAGGGCCTTAAATGCAGTGTCAGAACCAGTGGCCTTCCCAATGCCCAGGATTGACGACATTTTGACAAGGGTGCGAAAGGGAAAGATTTTCACCAAGCTGGATCTAAGGGGGCGTACAACCTGATACGAATAAGGAAGGGGGATGAATGGAAAACCACCATGTTCACCCCTTTAGGGGCATTTGAATACTTAGTTATGCCCTTCGGTCTACAAGCAGGCTCCGCAACATTTCAATCGTTTATGAACCACGTCCTGGGGCCGTTGCTTTACAAGAATTGTGTGGCCTTCTTAGACGACGTGTTGGTGTATTCTGAGAATGAGGAGCAGCATGTGAGAGACGTCAGAGAAGTGTTGAGCAGGCTGCAAGCCAACCAGCTGTGGGTGAAACTGGAGAAGTGTCAGTTTCATACCAAGGAGGTGGAATTCCTGGGGTATCGCCTGTCTGACAAGGGGTTGGCCATGGATCCCGGCAAGGTCCAGGCGGTACTGGAATGGAAAACACCCAAAACAAGGAAGGATGTGCAGAGGTTTTTAGGGTTTGGGAACTTCTATCGTAAGTTCATCCCAAACTTTGCCCACCTTACGGCGCCCATTACGGACTGTCTCAGCAGTAAGAAGAAGTTCGTTTGGACGGAGGAGGCGGAGCAAGCATTTGAGGAACTAAAAAGGGCCTTCGTCTCGGAACAACAGCTCCTGCATGTGGATTTACAAAAACCGATGAGAGTGGAAACTGATGCATCAGACAGAGCGGTTGGGGCGGTGCTTCTCCAGCCAGGGAAGGAGGAGTCAGAGTGGAGACCGTGTGCTTTTTTCGCGAAAGCTGAACAAATCCGAGAGGAACTACACGGTGTATGACCGAGAACTACTAGCCATTCATGAGGCGTTCCGGAGATGGAGGCACCTGCTAATTGGCGCACAACATAAGGTGCAAGTGTGCACTGACCACAAGAACCTAGAGTATTGGAGGACGGCACGAGTGCTCAACCAACGGCAAGTGAGATGGGCTCAGGAATTCTCCAAATTTAACTTTGAGATTTGTTACGTGCCAGGCCCAGAGAATATTAGGGCGGACGCTCTCTCACGCAAACCTGAATATTTGGAGGGGAGGGAGCACCCGAAGAGAGACATGTCATTCCAGAGGACCGCTGGGTGTGTGGGGCGGCATTGGTGGGACAAAGAGAACTGGTAGAAGAAACAGAGAATGATGAATACGCCCAGAATAAGCTTAGAGGTCTTAGGGATGAGGGAGAGGAATCAAGGGGTTTCGAGGAAAGAAATGGAGCTTTGTATTACAAAGGGCACAGTATATCCCTGAAGGAGACTTAAGCGGGAGGGTACACAAGCAGTTGCATGACAGCCCCACGGCGGTGCATTTTGGGCAACACAAAACCATGTGGTTGGTCACCAGGGAATTTTGGTGGCCTAAGGTGAGGGAGGATGTACGTGAGTATGTAAGAGGGTGCGAGCAGTGCCAGCGAGCCAAAGGGGAAAGGCGGGCGCCGGCGGGGCTATTAGAACCCTTACCAACACCAGAACGACCTTGGGAGGCAGTGTCGATAGATTTTATGACTGATCTGCCGAAGTCCAAAGGAAAACAGCCATCATGGTGGTGGTAGACCTACTAACAAAGATGTGCCACTTTGTAGCTTGCTCGCATGCAGTCACGGCGGAAGAGACAGCAAAGTTATTTGTAGAACACATTTTTAGGTTGCACGGGGTGCCATTGAGGGTGGTCTCAGACCGAGGAAAACAATTTACTTCCAGGTTCTGGAGGAAGCTCATGAGCTTACTGCAGGTGGAGGTCAACTTTTCGACTGCCCGGCACCCTGAAACCAACGGGCAGGCGGAAAGAGCAAACGGTGTCCTCCAGCAATACCTGAGGTGTTATGTCAATGACAGAGAGAATGACTGGGTAGAAAAGTTGGCGCTGGCGGAATTTGCCTACAACAATGCCGAGAATGTGTCCACAGGGATGAGCCCCTTCTTGGCTAATTATGGGTGTCATCCCAGGGCTTTCCCAGGGGAGAAGGGGAGAGATGGAGCGTACCGGCAGCCGAGCATTTTGTAGAAGAAATGGAAGCAATCCACCGTCAGCTCCAACTCAACTTAGAAAGGGCGAAGGAAGAATACAAGAGGCAGGCAGACAAGAACCGAAGGGAAGGTGAAACCATAAGGGTTGGAGAGAGGGTGTGGCTGTCAACCCGAGGGTTGCCGTTCAAAGGAGGTTGTAAGAAATTAAGACCCAGGAGGTTGGGTCCCTTTGAGGTCATTCAACAGGTCAACCCAGTGGCTTTCAGGCTCCGGTTACCCAACCACATGAAACTGCACCCAGTATTTCACAGGTCGTTACTGTCACCGTACGAGGGGGGACGAGAAGGGATGGCCACTCGGGGACCGGTCATAGAAGAAAGAGAATGCAGCAGTCATGTGGCAGAAATCCTTGATGCCAGGTGGAAGGGGAATCAGGTGGAGTATTTGGTAGCGTGGGAAGGAGAACCGGAGTCAGAAAACACGTGGGTAATGGCCAAAGATATCAATGACGAGGTATTGATAGAAATGTTCCATCAAAGGTTCCCGCGGAAACCTCAGCCTGTGGAGAGGTTCCGGAGGGAATACTTTGGGACCACTGAGGAGGAGGAGGAGTTGGAAGGATTCCCAGAATCGGAAGGGGAAGGGGAGATGGACTCGGAGGAGGAGGAGTGCTTCGAGACCAGGAACCGCAACAGGTGGAGAGAAGTGTTCGAGACATCGGAAGATGAAGGAAGTTCATGCCGGGTTTTGCCTCCTCACCGCCCGTAGAGGAGGGGCGAGAGGGGGTGAAGGGGGCCCTGGAGGGGAGGTGGATGTCAGGGAACTGCCATCGGTAGGAAGGGAGGTGAAAGGACTCAGACAGGTTGGAAGAGACTTAGCAGCTGAAGAGGAAACCAGCAGGGGGAGAAGCTGAACTGAGGGAGGTGAAAGGGCTCAGACAGGTTGGAAGAGACTTAGCAGCTGAAGAGGAAACCAGCAGGGGAGAGAAGCTGAACTGAGGGAAAGGGAGCTGGGGGATGGCTCAGAGATACTTCCAGCGAAAACAGTGGTGAGGTTTCCGGACCTCCTGTAGCGACACCCACTCCTCGCCGGAAACTGTCACGCAGAGAGTCCAGAAGACGTGTTTCCGTTAAGGAGCTTTTATGTTGGAAGCGATTACGAAAGCAACCACTGTCGGAATCTTCTAGTGACTAAGAGGAGCCATGTCAGAGGGGCTCAGTCACAGACAGAGGTTTGTGGACTTGAACAAACTCTGAGGGAATACGATTTTACGCACAAGCAGCTCATAATCCCATCACAATCTCCAACAGTTAGATACCTTAGATAGCCCTTTTTAAAACAAATGTAATAGGGTCCAGTATACTCTAAATATAATTTTTTATTGTATGAGCCTCAGCTTAAGGTCCAGAGACACCCTTGTTATAGCAGTTAAAACAGTTTCCCATTCTGTGATGGAAATTGAGATCTCTAATTCTTTCTTCCAATCCTCCCTCAGTACCTGTATATCAAATTGGTTTGCTAATAACAAAGATTTATCTATGCTGATGGAGGGTTTTTTTTGCTGTGTAAGAATTAAACAGCTGCTTCAATATCTCTGGGGTCAACCTCAGACATTTATTTTGAGGAATAGAGGAAACTGAATAAAAACACAACCATGACAGAACTAATTTTTAAAAATCATCTATTTAAATATTTAATACACAATAGCATCTAACATGTATTCCAGAAACAGAAAACAATGTGGGGAATTTATGTCAACAGAAGTTACATTAGTTTGTTTCCTCTTGTACATGAAGCAAACCTGAAAGACCTTAAAAACCATAGTTTCAAAGGGAAATTAAGAAAAAGGAGAGAAACCAAGTCATTCCCTTCCCCAAACTGAATGAACCAGTTTCATAAATGCTCTTTTTTCTGGGTTCTCCCGGTTAACTATGCAGCATACTGAGTCCCACTCCTAACTATTATCCTTGTGGCTTTTGAATAATCTGAAGGCATTGCTCACATACCCACATGCTATCCTGGACTTAATAATGTCTAGAAACTTGTTCTCCCAATCCATCAAAGAAGTTTCCATATATTCTGTCATTTTATGCTGTAAAATAGGAACTCTTCCCCCCCTTTTTTCCTTTTTGCATTCTCACAACTCTGTTCCAAGGACTAATTTGCAAGAGGGTGTCATAGTGCAACAGAGAGTGAGATATATTCTTGGGGCATATTTAATTACAAGGATATTGTTAAGGGGTGGTTTAGGGAGCCGTAAGCCCTGAGGGTATTGTGCTAGGCCCCAGATCTTTTCATCCTCACCTCCAATACTTTGCTTACCAGACAGATGGGCATGCTGTAATACTCAGTGCTGCTAAGACTCCAGTCACACCTTATCGCCTGTTTTACATTTACACACATTTGGTTTTGGGTCTTGTGCCCCAAGGCATTTAAGTACTGTACCTAGAGATATATCCGCACCACAGATCTGAGCTGATTTAAGGGGTCACTCACTCTCCACTGGGGCAACCCCACAATTTTAGTCTGAGCAGAGCAGGTGCCACAGATTACTAATCTTTCACAGTTAATTCTTGGGGGAGAATTTTTAACAAAACCCCAGGATTCCATCTAGGAAATGTACAAGTGGTATAAAACTACTCAGAAATTTGCAGTGTGGATGAACCTGCCACTACTCTGTATTTTTATGATTGGCTTTGTTCTTGCTATTTTGGTATTTGTTTGTGCCTTGGCATTTCTGTCTTGGTATTTCTCGCTGGAATGAAAGGTTGTGCATACATTCTGATTCTAATAATAACTAAGGAATGGCACATTTTGCATGCAGTGATGCATGTATACGAGCAGGTATAATATGGTATAGGTCAAAACCCAATTTCCATGCTGCACATCTCAAATCTTTGGGGTGGAGTAAGTGAATGCCATGATGGTTAATTAGAACCAATTTAATATACCGGTAGGTTCAGAGTGTAGCTATGACCTGTAGTTCTCTCCCTTGTCCCACAGTTCTCCACTGAAAGATTCACAGCAATGTGCACATAGCCCTATAGTTTCTTGCTGATGCACAACTGTTCCAGTTACAAGGCTGGATTCCTCATAATTCCTTGTAGTCATGCAAACAGAGCCCATAACCAGGTATATCTCCATGCATTGTTTATTTCATTTCATTTCCCACCCTCTAAGAACAAAGAAGAAAAAAGGGCGAGGGGTCAACACAGTACAATGCAATGACGGAGACAAATGTTGAAAGCTCCACAGGTTCTGAAATGGTTTCCATTCCATTTCAAGGGGCAGGTGAGGGTTCAGAAGCTGCACTGGGTTAAAAGATACAGAGGGGGTGTTCTGTTTGTCCCAGAGCAGAATGTGGGAAAGGGGCATGTTTCAAGCCAATAGCACCATTATTTGAGCTTGGGAAATTTCAAGCAGGGTGAAAAGCACAGGAACATGTGTGCACAAAGAAACTACTTCAGATAATATAATCTTGGGAGTAGCAGCTTCAAACTGGCCAGACAGATGTTTCCTTTCCTGCTCCTTTATGGAGTTTTTGTTTACCCCTTCTCTGCATACTCTGACACTTGAGGTCTAGTATAATTTGGGATACATCAAACTTTCTAATTGGAAAGATGAGCAAATTGTTACAGGGTCCAGTCCCTTCAGTGAACCTGCATTCACTCTTGTCTATGCTACTGAACTTCATAGTGATCACAAATACAATTGTATCAGGGGTATTGCTATAGTGTCATCCAAATTGGAAGGGAGCAAAGCTTGGATCTTTTGCCCCTTCCTCTGTTTTTTAAATTTTTTTTACAGATTGACCTTCCCATTGGAAGTGGCATATATGTGAATAATAAATCAGCAAGTATAAATCATAGCAAAATCTGTGCTATTCCTCTGTGCTGTGCTTCAGGCCTCACAATGTCTTTGGATGAAATCAATATTATTATCAATAATATTATCAATATTATTTTTATGCTATGTTTTTATTCATGAGCACATGTACTCTCAGCCTTGGTAAAACACCACACCAACACTTTGCCAGTGATGTACAATGCGTTAGTGTGTCTGGCTGCTAACTGAAAGGTTGGTGGTTTGAGCCCACCCAGAGATGGCTGTGGGCAGGATTCCTGCATTGTAGGAGGTTGGATTAGATGGCCCTTGGGGTTCCTTCCAACTGCAATTCTATGATTGTGTGTGTGATAGTATTTTTATCTATGTGCTAAAGTGTGCATACGAACTCTCCCAGTCATTGGTAAAACACCAAACCAAAAGTTTATTTTTCATTTGTTTGTTTTGGTGGTGGTGTATGTGCAAATCAGAAAATTATTGCTTAAAAATGACTCCTGACACAACTCTATGTGTGAGCAAATGAAGTTCAGGGAAAGGTCCTAGATAAGTGGTAGAGCATCTGCTTTGCATGCAGGAGGTCTCAAGTTTGTTCCCAGCATCTCCAGTTAGGGATAGGAAGGACCCCATTCCTGGAACCCTGGAGAGTTGCTGTCAGTTAGTGTAGACAATACTGAGCCAGATGGACCAATGGGCTCAGAGTAGAATTGGCAATTTCCTATGTTCTAAGTTGTGGATTAGCAGTTCAGTGTGTGCACGATACAAATATCCTGAAAGAATTGAAAGCTCAGGGAGCTGAGCAGACAGAATACATCCAAAACCAGCATTTATGTGACATGGAAGGATTCCAGATCCCTCAACTCCACTTCAGAAAACAAGACCAGTACTTTGGAACTTCCCCATCAAGGCCATGTCAGCAGAGGAAATTTCTGGAAGCATTTGTAGGTAGCATCCTTTTATTACACTGCATTGTGGAAATTCTGGTCTGTAAGTGGGAGAATCCATGGTTTCAAATGGGCAGCTAGATTAAGAAAGCACCAAAGTAGGTTATGTCTCCTTCACCACCAAATCCCACCAGTGCAGGATTGCTGACATTGACCATGAGTGTGTCATCTTCCCATAGCTGGAAAATACCTCCAACATAAATGGTTTTCTTCCATTTTCCATTATTGTCAATGGAACTCTCACCTTTCATGATTGGGCGAGGTGCAGGATAGCTTGGGCTCTTCAATGAAACCACCTGCATTACGTTTCTTACATCCACACCTTTCTTTCCACAGTACTCTATGTTTTCGCATGTACCATCAGGACATCGGAAAGTGACCTGAGTGTAGACAAAGTAATATCCATTTTTTGGGATCACCAAGAAACCATTGAAATACTTCATTGGACTGTGCTGTTCATTCCTGCGAACTGTCCACTCTAAGATTGGAAGCACATTGTTGGCACAGGATGAATTTTGCTTGATAGCTGTGATAAGACAAAGCAAAACAATTTAGTTATATGCTCTCACTGAGGGCTAAAAACATTCAAAGAGGCTGATGGCTTTTGTGACTTTCTAGCCTGTTATTCAGATTCAGCCCCAAATCATCACCATCACCCCAGGAGTGGGGAAGAAAATGTGTACCTCCAGATATTTCTGAACAACAGCTCCCATAATCTCTGGCAGTTGGCTGTGGTGGCTGAGGCTGATGAGTAATGGAGGGTCACTGGTTCCCTGCCACAAACTCAGATGAACACCAGAGGTCCCACCTGAACCCAGGTGAGCCTACCTGAGTCTATGGATAGGAGATAGATTCAGTTTAGGTTGCATCCTAATGTAAACCTACCTACTGCACTTCCTGAAACACAACACTGTCAAAAATGCAAGGGTCACTCAAGATTTGCATTTCTCTAAATTTAGTGGTGCATGAAACTTGAACCAGTGGGTTCATCTCACTAGACTGGTAACTTTGTCTCTCCATTCTGTACTATATCCAGTCTGTCTCTCTCTCTCTTCCTTCCAAATCCTCTCCATATTTTCTCAGGTCTATTTCTGTTTAGTGTTGCCCACTGAAGACCTAGAAGAGGGGTACTGTAGTTCTAGTGGGCCATTAGGATTTTGGCATGCCAATCTCTGCCTGCCCATAGCCAGACCCCACCTACCAGTCAAGGGGGTGGCACAGCCCCTCAGCTTCCTCTGCTTTAGTCTCGGTGTTCTCCTTGTAAAACTCAGCTGGGAGGAGGATGGGGACAAAACTAAAATTAGTTGGCTCCACATGGCACTGGCTCTGACTTTTCCTGTCACTGGCTTTTACACCACCTAATGTTGGGCTCCCCATTCTCTGCCCTACCAATCTCAATGAGCATCAGCCACCACTTTAATAGTTTCACCATCCTACCATATCTAGCCACTGCAAGAAGTGTATGCTGTTCTTTTAAACGCATGCACAGTACCATATTTCCAGACAACTGTGCTTTGCATAATGTATTTTAATACCACTGAACACTACCAGGGGCTATTCTTGAGACCTTTCTATTCTGATGGGCTTCTGAAAGTGGAAGGAACACACTCCAGAGACATAAAGCTTTGGAGGAGAAACAACTGCAAAGTGAAAAATTACCTGAAAGGTGGATCTTTGGCTTGCTTTCCGAATCTGCAACATAAGAGAGAGAGACAGAAAGGGAGAGAGAATGAATTACCTAATGCACTCTAAGACCACAATCTTGTACATCCTTACTTTCTTCTGGATAAACCATACATTGCCCCTCTAACCAGATGTTGAGTGAGCCCAGCGATCCTGGAGCCAAATGTATATTGCCATCCCATAATAAAAGAGTGGAGAACTGTTTTAAACTTCAGGGCTACATTCCCTTGAGGGCAACCTTTTTGGAATGCCATGGTTGTTGAACTTTCTGTAAATGTGCCAGTCAAATCTATTTCCTATAAATCATTGATCTTCACAAAGGTGCAAGCAGTGTAGAAGTATGTTTTAGCACAGGTGACCACCAGCTAAGGGAGCATAGAAACCTTAAATGTAGTGCATTTATTCTCATCTGTCAATAAATAATGGGATTTCTCACTATGGTTCAGGAAATAAGCTCTCTGGAGAATTCCTGAGAAACCTGTCCCTTGAATAAGTAGGCAGGGAGTGATACAGAATGTCAAGAACAATGTTTTCTGCCTATCCCTGGCTGCAGAGGCACAAACAGAGTTTTAAAGGCAGCTTGGCTTATCACCCATCCAGAGGTGTAATGGTTAGTGTGTTGGACTAGGGCCTGAAGGAAACCAGGGTTCAAATCCTCACTTGGCCATGAAGCTCACTGGGTGACTCTGGGCCAGTCACTGATTACTCCCAGCATAATCTACCTCACATGGTTGTGATGTAATGAGCTCCATGGCTGAGTGGGGTTTTGAGCCCTGCTCTCCCAGACCCCAGACCAAATTTCTAATCTGGGGATTACCCTCCAGATAGTGTTGGATTACACCTGCCAACAACCTCAGCCAAGATGGCCAATGGATGGTCATGGATGATGGCAGCTGCAGGCCAACAACACCTAGAGGACACCTGCTGGCTATTTCTGGTCTAACCACTACATCACACTAGCTCTCAATCAATACTGGTTTGTTGACCATCAAGCAGACTGTCCTGTGTTTTTTTGTTATTGGAGGTCTGATAGCCCCTAATTGGAGATGATGTAGAAATGGATGGTCTGCATTTTGCACGGGTTGCACAGCACCATAGAGACCTCCTAAGGAGCAACTTGCTATAGCACATGTTGGAAGTGAACTGAGGCCCCTGAACCTCTGCAGTCCAGGGCTATGCTCCTTTTTGGACAGGGAGGATGGCCCCCTAGATGCTGTTGGGCTTCAACCCCCATCCACCCTAGCCCACAGAATCACAGAATTCTAGAGTTGGAAGGGACCCCAAGGGCCATCGAATCCAACCCCCTGCAACAGAGTTCAACAACATTTTGAGGGCCACATAAGTTTCCCATTCCTGCCATGGAGAATGCATCCCCCTTCTAAGCTGTGATATCACCTCAAGCACAGTTTTCACCGCGAGCTTTCCCCACAATTAAGCATCATGGGCGAAGGGCTGTAGCTCAGTGGGAGAGCAGCTGTTTTGCATGCACAAGGTTCCAGGTTTAATCCTTGGCTTCTCTACGCAGGGCTAAGATAGACCCCTGCCTGAAACACTGGAGAACTGCTGCCAGTCAGTGTAGCAATAATGACCTAGATGGTCTTGTGTTCTGACTCAGTTTGAGGTAACTTCCTTTTTTGCACTTTATTTATTTATTATTAATGTTGCAATACATATATGAAATCTTTACATATTGATACATATACATTATATTCGTGAATTCACATTTTCACATTTCATTATGCACCAACATTTATCCATTTCTTATTTCTTGCCCTGTGTCTTCCCTCCACTCATGAGTGACTTCCTTGTTATTATTTTGTAACTTTATTATTGAGATTGTAATTTTGTATCTTAATAATTAAATATTCAATCTTATATATCTGCTTAGCTTAGCTTAGTTTAGCTTAATGAAATCAGTCTATACATATCAATAAATTCTTGTTGGAGCATCTTTTGGTCATGTATTCTTCTACACATTTCGATTCCTGTTTGAGATTTTGATTAGATTGCATTCTAAGTGTTGCCGTCATTTTTGCTAATTCAATCATTTCAAAAAAATTATTTTGCCAATCGTTCAATGTTGGTACTTCTTCTGACTTCCAATTTTTTGCAGTCAATAACCTTGTGGCAGCTGTTGCATATAAAAAGATTCTCTTCATGTCTTTTGGGATGTCATTTGTTATAAAGTAACTTCCTATGCTCCTATTCTGCCAATGCCTGCTACTGCCTGGAGAAATTTGCTGCAGGGAGAATCTTATTCAGAACACAAAGCAAACACTACAATTCTTCTTCTTCTTTTAAGCAAACTCACAATTTACAGGAGAGGCCTCTTGTTTCTGGAATATAGGAAGTGTTTCAGGTGACATCTGTAAAGGAAAATGCACAAGTGAATAATTCAGCAGTGTGGCATCTCTAATGCATGAGGGGGGGGGGGAGCCTGTAGGCGGGCAATGTCTTGTTTTAATTGACTGGACGCGGATGGCGCTGTGGGTTAAACCACAGAGCCTAGGACTTGCCGATCAGAAGGTTGGTGGTTTGAATCCCCGCGATGGGGTGAGCTCCCATTGCTCTGTCCCTGCTCCTGCCAACCTAGCAGTTCGAAAGCACATCAAAGTGCAAGTAGATAAATAGGTACCGCTCCGGCGTTTCTGTGTGCTGCTCTGGTTCACCATAAGTGGCTTAGTCATGCTGGCCACATGACCCGGAAGCTGTACGCCGGCTCCCTTGGCCAATAAAGCGAGATGAGCACCACAACCCCAGAGTCGGCCACAACTGGACCTAATGGTCAGGGGTCCCTTTACCTAAGCCACACTGTGAGCCTTTTTGGCCAAATATTAGGGTGTAGATGCTCTAAATCAAACATGTCCAACCAGTAGATTGCAATCTACTGGTAGATCCCTGGCTGATCCTGGTAGATCGTGGGACCCTTATCGATCGTGGAATTAAATAAAGTTTACTGAAAGTTAGCAAATAAAAGCTGAAGAACTCTGGTGAATCCTACCCCCTAAAAGCTCAACAACTCTGGGCAATACACCCCCCCCAACACACGCACACTCCTCCTCCCTCCAATGTCAATGGGTAGATCACTGCCAGTTTGTTTTACACTGGGATTAGATAAATAAGGTACAGGACAGGTAACAACACGGGTGCAAAGGAACCACCAGGAGCCTTGAAACATATTCCTAATTGCTCCTTGGCAAACTGAGGCTGTGTTTGGCACCTTTTAAACAGGGCACCAAATCCAAGCACCTCTGGGATTGGTTCCACCTGGGAGCACACAACCCCTTCAAAAAGTAGGGTCTGAATTCAGCTGATTAGCTTCACTCTGGAGTTTCAGGAACTCTGCAGTGTATCAGTAGGATTATGGATAGTGAAAATCAAGCCCCACTTGGATTGGCTAGGAAAGTCATCAGCACTGTGGCTTCAATTCAATTTTCACTGCAAAGTGGGGGGGGGGGGACCCAGCCAAAGTTGTCCACCAGGAGCTGAAAATGTTCCCCACCCCTGGATTTATTCAACAACTTCAGACCAGTTTACCTGCAAGATCACCTTACCCCAAATATACTCACTCTACCACGTCTGTCTGCATAACTGGCATCGTTACACTGCCACATAATACCTGTTCCACATTTGTAAGAAATTGGTATTTTAGTGTGGCAACACTTACACTCTGGAACTCCTTGCCTAAGTGACATCAGGCAGACACCTTCACTGTATGTACTATTTTCAGTGCCTGCTGAAAGGCTAGAGAAATCGCACCAAGCAAAAATAAAACCCCACACATTCCAGTCCAGTTCATATTTATACTGGTCAATCCCTGCCCCCCCCCACACACCACCTCCCCCCGACAACAACACAGGCATTACTAATTGTCATTTGCTTCCTACAGCTGTGCTTACCAAACAGATGGAATGCAGGAGAGTCCCATCTGGCATGAGGACAGGATACCTGGTATATGCAGTTAACTTTTAACCCCTAGAGTCTAGACATCACTTTACAGCTGGTAACTGAGCAGGGAAACCAGATTTCACACCAGATCAGATTAAGTGCAGTAGTTCAGCACTTAATCTTGGTGCCTCTCCCTGCCACCAAGCAAGGCAGAGAGCCTTCATTTTCTTTTCACGTTTGGAAACCTCAAGCAGACACAACACAAGAATAGTTTTTAAGCCCTTTAAGCACATTTAACGTGTGCAGTTTCAGCCGGCCAGTTTGCCTGCAACCACTTAAGGTTGAAATCACACAAGTTAAAATGTGTGTAAGATGCAATCATACTGTCATCGCCATCGTTATCCACTGGGCAATCTGGATTAGTAACATGTAGACGGTGCCTGAGTATCACTCATAATATAACAGCTACCTGAGAAAGGGACTGTAGATTCAAAGCGACCGTCTGCTCCAGGTATTGCATATAGAACTTGGCTGTACAAGAAGCAGCAGGACTTTTTGTATTTAAGATATCCTGCTGCTGATTCTCTTTTAGGAGAATCCGTATTTTATTATCTATTTCTCATTACTGTAATGGTATTTATATTACTGCCTTGAGTTTTATATTGTATAGATGTTACATGCTGCCATTTGTGTTCTGCTTTCTAAACCACGCTGTGGTCTTTTGATGAAGGATGGTATATAAATTTAATAAATAATTTCAAGGTCACCCTCCAGATGGTGGTGGACTCCAGCTCCTTTCATCCCTCAGCAATGGCCATTATGAAAATTGGAGTCCAAGGGTATCAGGAAGGGGAGGCACAGTTTCACTGATCATTATTTACAAAACCAGTCAGTGCACTGCATGGGCTGATTGTACCACAAAGGGGACTTACCCCCTGCCAGCACTGGAGTGGGAGGGGAAGAAGACAGGGGAAGTGTTGTCTGAGCTATTGACACCACGTGAAGTTTTTGGTTTGAAAATCATGGCTGTGAACAGACCACTTGATTGATTTCTATTTGCCTTTCCATCTGCATTTCTGACTAAGGATGGATGAATCTATCAAAGTTGGTTTTACATTACTCGGTTTTTGTATGCCCAGTCCTAAATTCTGTTCTTCACATTTCCACTTCAGTCTGAATACTTTTTAAAAGTCTTCATGAACAATTTCAATAATAATGATGGACTTTATCTGTATTGACAAGAGTCAAAATTAAAATGATTTACAAACTAAGAAAAAGCGCTGCTTTGGTAGGAAACAAGATCCAAATTAGAAAGTTAATAAATCTTAGTATTCGCTCATACATACATACATACATACATGTATTAGGTGACCCACTACTCCCAAATCGCAAGGACACAAACATTTTGAATACCTGAAATGTTTCCCATGGGACAGCAATCCCTTCTCCACCAGGGAAAATCAGCAGAAAAGACTATGTTTAGGATCAAGGTGGATCTCCTGCACCAATGAGTACTTTATGTAGAAAGTACACCAGCAGAGATAATGCAGTATGTCATTTAAAGGTTAAGTCCACTAGTCAAGAGGGGTGTGTGTGGAGATGTTGCTTAGCAACAAGGTAGAGTGACATGAGCTAGCATGTGCTCTGGTTGGTTGTGTATTTCTCAGGAAGTTTTCTCCCCTGTGTTTTTAGTTGTATGCCCCCCCCCCCCGTTATGTACAAGGCCTTAACTGAAAGACAAAACCTGTCTGTTCCTTTCTCCTCAAATAGGTATGCACTGTTTGTTGTTCCATCTGTTCAGTAAACTGCTATCAGAACTTTTTGCTCTAGGCTCCACTTGCATTATTTACACAATTTCTCTAACACTTAAATAAAGAATGCAACCACCCACATCCGCTGATGGAGTTTATCCATGACATAAATAGGAAGTTCAGTTCCCTGGTTTATGCTCAGCTGGGCCAACAAGCTTCCACCCTTGGCAGAGACCCAGGTTACAGAGCTCCACACATGACACCAATATGCTTGCATTTCCTTGAATGAAAGCATTGTAGAAAGTTAATGAGCAATCTCATTTGCGGTGTGACCTCTGCTCATACTAATTGCCAACGGATGTTTATGCAATAACTCCTACACGAGTTGCATATTGATAAATGACAGAAACATGCTGAGTGCTGGTATTTATTATGAATAAGATAACCAAGCAAAGGATTTTATCCCAGGTTATTCCTACTCAGAATAGACCCATTGAAATTGATGGGCATGGCTAGCTTAGGTTTGTTCATTCTGATCTACTCTAAGCAGAACTTAGTCCAAATCATTCCTGAACCCACCACATCTAGCAGTATTTGCTGCTGCATTGGTCTTCAACTACTCATCCAGTATCCACTATCAGGTTGTGGCCTGATCTAAGGCAGGTCACAACAGCAGCTGTGCCACCATACAAATATTTTTTTGGGGGGGGTTAAGAAGTAGGCCCCCAAATGCATGTCCCAAGCCTGGAAGAAGTTCTGTGTAATTCAACTAACTTTTACTCAAAGTAGATCCATTGTAATTAATGAAGATGTCTGAGTTAGGTCATTAATTTTAATGGGTCTACTCTGAATAAACATTAGTTGAATACCACCCACAGTCATCTGTCTTGCTTGGTTCCTGATGCTGGATATTGTCTTGTCTGATCCCATCACGGGTTGGTTGTGAGACTATTTTAATGTTGCACAGTCTCCATTTACTGTATAAGTTTTGAAATTAATAGGCCCACAACAATATACACCTCTATGTGGAAGGCTCCCTTGTTGATATGTGACTCATGCTTCCAATATGTCCCTTTACAGAATCTATTTTATTGTGGTGTCTGCAAGTGTACTAAACCTTCTGTTTATTTTATTCAAACTTCAATAGTGTGCTTAGGTTTGCCACCTCTGTTCCTGCAAAATACAGAACAGAGCAGGGCAGGGCAGTTCGGGGTGATTTCCCCCCTCCCATCTGGTTCGAAAGTGACTTCAAAGCAATCCATTACAATCTCGTGCAGCCTAACAGGACGGCATCTCTGGAATTTGTAACACACAAACACGTGCACACACACATACATATGAATTTTAAAATCTGTCTGTGCTTGGCTACCCAGAGCTTAAATATATGACCTTTCACACACCCTTTCAAACAAATGCATTTGGAGAGAATCCCTAACTTGGCAGAAAGAGAGAGAGAAGACTTGATATACAGGTCAAAACTGTATCAATACAGGATGCAGCATTTTACATTGAAATACAGGACAATCCTGTATTATACAGGACAGGTGGCAAGCCTAATATGTGCTTCACACAGCCCTTGTTCATTGTTTCTTTATTGTTTGCATATTGTTGATTTGATCACTGCAAATGGTGACAGCAGTCATGAAATTAAAAGACGCCTGCTTCTTGGGAGAAAAGCAATGACAAACCTGGACAGCATCCTAAAAAGCAAAGACATCACCTTGCCAACAAAGGTCTGTATAGTTAAAGCTATGGTTTTCCCAGTAGTGATGTATGGAAGCGAGAGCTGGACCATAAAGAAGGCTGATCGCCGAAGAATTGATGCTTTTGAATTATGGTGCTGGAGGAGACTCTTGAGAGTCCCATGGACTGCAAGAAGATCAAACCTATCCATTCTTAAGGAAATCAGCCCTGAGTGTTCACTGGAAGGACAGATTGTGAAGCTGAGGCTCCAATACTTTGGCCACCTCATGAGAAGAGAAGACTCGCTGGAAAAGACCCTGATGTTGGGAAAGATGGAGGGAACAAGGAGAAGGGGACGACAGAGGACGAGATGGTTGGACAGTGTTCTCGAAGCTACCAGCATGAGTTTGACCAAACTGCGGGAGGCAGTGGAAGACAGGAGTGCCTGGCGTGCTCTGGTCCATGGGGTCACGAAGAGTTGGACATGACTAAATGACTAAACAACAACAACAAATTGTTGTTTTTGAAAACTGAATAAGCACATCTTAAAGTACGGTTGAGTTAGATGAATTAATTTCAATGGGTCTCCACTGAGTACACATTATTTGAATACCAGTCATGGTAATCTGTCATGTTTGATTCTTGATGTGGCTGTACATATGCCAATGTGACACTTTTCTCCAGGCCTTTTGTATATACACTGCTATCCAGTGCTTTTTATCTGGGGACACTCAAGGGTATGCAGTACTAGCACCTTTCTTTTCCTGGAAGAAAAGCACTGGTTAAAAGCATGGCACTTACTGTAACAACTTCATGGTGAGTACTGGCACCTTTTTTTTCTGGAAGAAAAGCACTGCTGCTACCCAATTTCACTTTCTGTTGGGGGCAGGGAATAAATAGGTGGAGGTGCAAACTTGAGCAGTACAGGCAGGCAGGAGAGATACAGAGGGTGCACACAGCTGTGCAGATATGTGCTAACACTGCAGCACTCCTAAAATGTTCCTCAGTCTATGAAAGTGATTGCCCAGATTTTTTGAGGGGGTAGGGGGTAATAATAAAACCCCACACATACAAGTCATTTGGAAAAGCAAACCACAGTATTTGCATGCTTTGCACAGAATGTTAAACCATTAAATAAAGTTTAGCTAATAAATCCCAATTTATTCGTTACTAAATAATTAATAAACCTATTTATTAGTTATTACTAAATAACTATTTGCTGTTAAACCATTACCGCCCAGCCCAGCCCTTTAACTATGGTTTGTTAGCCAAAAGGAACCATGGTTTGTTGTTGGCTTACTGAACTTTGCTATGGTTCAGTGATAGGTGCAAACTCACACAGTTCCTTAACTATGGCTTAGGTGTAGCTTGTTTGTTTACCCCACCCACATCACCCATCAGGCTATAAAGATGCTAGTCAATGGGGTGGTGGTGGTTAGAAATTGTGTTTTGCTCAATGACTTTCACCGACTGGCCTGGGCAGCCTTAAGTTTACACATGTTGGAAAGTCCCAAATCTGGATTGCAAGGGGAAAGGGTTTTTGTGGCGGGGGGGAGGGGGGCATATTGGAAGCACCAACACTGGGGGAAGACAGGAGAGGAGATGAGGTAGATGAAGTAAGGTGATCGTAGCAGCATCAGCACCACAATCCACCCACTCTCCTGGACATTCCCTGAAACCTGTGCACACTATGTAGTCACATCCTTCATCCCCTTCCCTCATGCAACAGTTTTCAGGAGCATGGAATCCTGCCTGAAAATAAAATGTCTCATCACCCTGGCACTGGATTCCCCTCATTCATGGGATGTCAAGGAGTCTGAGTCAGAAAGGGAAATTACAGAGAGGGCCAGCCCCAGAAGGACATCCATGAGAGGATCTCGTGATGCTGGCGCCATGCCAGCCAAAGGGTGTAATGATGCCATACTCTGACCCTGAGGACTCTCGTATCACAGAAGCCCTCATGCAGCCAGCCAGCCTTCCCTGCTAAGTTGAAGTGGAAAAAACAGTTGGAGAAGGCTGGGCCCCTTTAACTGAAGAAGCCCCTTTCAGTAAAGTTAGACAGAACCACTTGCTGCTATATAAGTCTCAAGAGGAGTTTGGATTTGATATCCCACTTTATCACTACCCTAAGGAGTCTCAAAGCAGCTAACAATCTCCTTTCCCTTCCTCCCCCACAACAAACACTCTGTGAGGTGAGTGGGGCTGAGAGACTTCAGAGAAGTGTGACTAGCCCTAGGTCACCTAGGGGCTGCATGTGGAGGAGCGGGGAATCGAACCCGGTTCACCAGATTACGAGTCCACCGCTTTTAACCACTACACCACAAGTCCACACTTCTGCTAGTCCCATGCTTAGAAAGCACAGGTGTGAACAGTTTTCCACTTGACCCATGCTTTCTAGACACAGGCCCAAGTGGTCTTCTCTCTGCCCCACTCCTTTCCCAGGAGTGCTCCAACTGAGTGCTAAAGAGTGGTTTTCCTGTGGTGGTGGGGAGTGAGCAGTGAGAGAAGAAGAAGTGTAGAGAAGCTCAGAGTCTAAGGTCACATCTGCCCCAAACAACAAACTCTTATTCCACTTTATCAGTCATGACTTCCTGCAAAAAAATCATGGGAACTCTTGTTTGTTACGGGTACAGACCTCACAGATCTACAGTTCCCACCAGTCTCAACAAACCATAGTTCCCAGGATTCTCCAGGTATGTTAAAGTGGGATAAGAGTGCCTTAAATGTAAGGTGTGGGTACTGACCAACGCTGACTGGTGCTTGAGCAACAGCAGAATCCTGTGCGAGGCTTGGCCCCAAGAGGAGGGCAGAGCAAGAAAAAGTCCCTGCTCTCCAACATTTTTTGCAGAATGTTTGAAATAATATTAGACTATATACTCTCTAATGGGTTATATTCATGCAGCTCCCCTATCTGGGGAAAGATGATATAGTATCTAAATGGGAAAGTAATGGAGTCATGTTACAGTATAACATTTGGGGGGGGGGGGGTTGCGCGCGCAAGGGAATAATGTAGAGCAGTGGAAGGAAGGGGTTAAAGAAACCCTAGGCTGCTATAATCTTTTGAGTGCTCTTGAGGAGAGTGGGCAAAGAACTCTTGAGAAAATTTTCACACCTTTGCAGCCAGCCAGTAGGAAGGGGCAGGGAGATCTGATGAGGCAATGGTAGCAGTACAGCTCTACGAATTCTTTTGGGATGTTGGGTAGGTAATATGAAGCACATGGGGAGTTAAGTAGGGCATAAAAGGTGAAGGTAAAGGGACCCCTGATGATTAGGTCCCGTCATGGCTGACTCTGGGGTTGCGGCGCTCATCTTGCTTTATTGGCCGAGGGAGCCGGCGTACAGCTTCCGGGTCATGTGGCCAGCATGACTAAGCCGCTTCTGGAGAACCAGAGCAGTGCAAGGAAACGCCGTTTACCTTCCCGCTGGAGCAGTACCTATTTATATACTTGCAATTTGACGTGCTTTCGAACTGCTAGGTTGGCAGGAGCTGGGACCGAAGAACAGGAGCTCACCCCATCGCAGGGAAATGAACCACCGGCCATCAGATCAGCAAGTCCTAGGCTCTGTGGTTTAACCCACAGCGCCACCCACGTCCCTTTTAAGTAGGGCATATGCTCACACAAAAGCCCTCTTTGCTTGATCTTCTTTGTGGTGATTTGCAGTTTGCATAATGAACTGTGGTTTAACTTTGGCTAAGTGCAAGGGTATGGAACCTTGGGGCAAATGTGCCCCTTCCCTGGCTGCTCTTTCTGCCCCTTGTAACTCATCCCAGACTACACCTCTGACTTGCCTTGGACTGCACCCTGAGTGTTTTTGCCTGGCTGGAATGTGTTCCTTGGATTCCCATGATGCCTCTTGCTTGCCTGGATGGGGGATGGAGAGGAGAAGGTGTGGAAACTAGCCAACTGCACAAAGGTAAATTTTACATGTGTTGCTTTGTCAGCTTTTACCTCTAATCCTGCTCATGTGTCCCCTAGAAGGCTGCCTAGAAGGAAATGCAGCCCCGGGGCTGAAATGAAAGTTCCCCACTCCTGGGTACAGGTGATGCATGAACCAGGCCACTCCGTGGAAATGCAAAAGCATGGAGAGACCAGAAAAAAGGTGTGGGGGACTATGGAAATTAAATATACTGTATTTTTCGCTCTATAAGACGCACCAGACCATAAGATGCACCTATGTTTTGGAGGAGGAAAACAAGAAAAAAAATTATTCTGAATCCCAGAAGCCAGAACAGCAAGAGGGATCTGGCTTCTGGGATAGCCTCTTGCTGTTCTGGCTTATGGGATAGCCATGCGAAGCCTCTTCGGGGCAGCAGGATGAAGGCTCCCCCTGCCCTCAAGAGGCTTCATGCAGCAAAGCCAGGACAGCAAATGGGATCACTGTGCAGCGATCCCTCTTGCTGTCCTGGCTTATGGTATAGCTGCGCGAAGCCTCTCGCGGCCAGCAGGATGAAGGCCCCCCCTGCCCGGAAGAGGCTGCGCACGGCTAGGCCAGAAGCCAGCACAGCAAGAGGGAAGCCTCAATGCAAAGCCTCCTGAGCAAAGAGGCAGGAACGCTCCCGCTGCGCTCAAGAGGCTTTGCATGGCTATCGCTGAAGCCAGGAGAGCAAAAAGGATTGGTGCGCACCGATCCCTCTTGCTCTCCTGGCTTCAGCGATAGCTGCGCAGCCTGCATTCGCTCCATAAGATGCACACACATTTCTCCTTACTTTTTAGGAGGGGAAAAAGTGCGTCTTATAGAGTGAAAAATACGGTATGTGTTTCAGGTAACCTCCTGGCTCTCATTTCTGGATCTCTGTGCATGTTAGGATTCTCTCCAAATTGCAGGATCCCTGTCAAGGTATGGAAGTTCAGTGGGCTCTTTTAACTCATTGTGTTCTAGCTCCATCCTATCACCCTTCTCATATTTCACTCCACTGCTGAATCTGCCCCTCTCCTCCAGCCATCCTGCATGTGGGATCTTTGCCTCACCTACTATCTCTTCTGGGACCATGTCCCATTCACCTTTTCCAACCTTTTGTCTGCTCCACACAGCTCCTGCCTCACAGCTGACCAAACTGTCAAAGCAAGCCTTCTTGTGGAAGGTGAGTTTTGAACATCCTATTCTTGGCTGCTATATTACCCAAGCAATTGAATGTTTATGGACATTCCATAGCATCACCACTAGCATCACCCAACCATCATCTGGAACCTCACTGCTAGAAGCACCACAAAAAGTCTGTGTCACAAAGCTTAGTGACATCAAAAGAGTTCTGCTGAATGAGGCCAAAGTCCAGCAGACTATTCTCGCAAGTGGCCAACCTGCCTCTGTGAAGCCTGTAAGCAGGAGCCAAGTGCAATTGCAGCTCTCCTCATGTGATTCCCAGGAACTATATTCAGAGGCTGGCCTTCTCCAACAGTGGTGATAAAACATACCAGATCAGGTTGCAGGTTTCTGATTTTCTGGATCAGAGACCTTTATATTGTCCAACCTTTTATGCCTCAAGTCTTCCATGGGAGATGAGGACACAACACACAGACACACACACCTTGAGTCTGGGGCCCTCCAGAAAAAGTCCACTTCAAAAAAGTATTCCTGCCCTGATATAATGATTCCACTGGGGACAGAATTCCACTCCCCTAATCAGGTCCAGTGGTACCTTGTCGTGTCCCTTGTCAGAGCTGAGTGATTCTGATAAGAATTACTCATCTTGAACTGGGTGACTCAGTAATTTAATTTGGCAGGTTACTTCTTGAGCCATCTCAGTTAAGTCACCTTGCAGGGCTATTGTGAATAACAAAAGTGGCATCTTTGATCTACAACAGGAGTGGGGAATTTCAAACCTTGGGGCCAAAGGTGGCCCTCAAAGCTCCTCTGTCCAGCCCTCAGGACTCCTCCCCACACCACCATGCCTACCCAGATGCACCCCCTCTCCCCAAGAGAGTGTCTTTAACTGGCTTGACTGTATCCTTGAACTCCGATGATGCCTTCTACTTGGAGGATAGAGAGGGGTGTGAAAGTTTGTGTACAAACTAGTCTACTATTTAAAGGTAAAACGGACATTCATTGCTTCGCCTGCATCGCCTCTGGCCTCCCACCCCCTCACATGTACACCCCAGAATACTGACAAAAAGTGAATGCAACCCATGGGCTGATAAAGCCCACCCTCCCATCTATGGTAGTCAGCACACGCACACATTTGAAATTTGCAGTAACAACAGCGACCTGCTCCCTTATGCTGGAGATGAGCAAATTACTGGAGCGCATTGCAGTCTAAACTTCATCCTACAAGCATGCCCCTAAAAACACACAAACAGCCATCGCCATGACAAGAAGCAGAGGAGAAACGAATGAATGAACGAACGAAGGGAAGAGTAACTTTCCAACTACACTTCCGGATTCCACAATTGTGAAGAGAGAAACAAGCTTCCACCTCCTCTGGTCCACAACATTTCTTTGGGACTCGGATCTGTGGAGCCCCACCCGCTCCACAGCTTCCCTAGCCAAAGATCCCTCCGTGGGTTTCCGCATTGTTTATTTGTTTGTTTACTTAACAGAGTAAATAGACCATTTAATCATTCCAATACCTCTTAACAGAAAACGATAATGGCAAGTCAGCCTACAGACGGATCAAAATACGAGTAAAAACAAGTTAGAATGTTCAGCATGGAATTTACATGTTGATCGTTCAGTGAGAAAGTACCTGCTTTGCGTGTCCCAAAGTCCCAGGTCCCGGGCATCTCCCAGTACGAGTGGGGGAAGGGGGCAAGGATCCTGCCTTAAAACGCTGGAGGGTGCGCTGCTGGAAGTTCTGAGCTAGACGGATCCGTGGCCTGACTCGGCAGCTTTCTCTGATAAATCCCGCCCACAGAGAGACAACCTACCCTTTGATTTGGGGAAGCGCGGGAGCTCAGCGTAAGAGCATCTGCTTTGCATGCAGAATGTCCCACGTTCAAATAAATACTGGGCATCCCGTGTCGAAACCCCGGGGAGCCGATGCCGGTCAGTACATACGCTACAGAGTAAAACGCAGGTCTTTGTATTATTCCTTACCTCGTCTTGCTTGCACCTGAGGCTGCTGCCCAGCAGGTAAATCACGGGCATAGCCAAGAGAACAAGAAGCAGGAGACAAAAAAGCGCCAGGCACTGGAGCCTCCGCAAGTCGCCCGCCAGCCGCTCCCACCTGTACCCGTAATGCTCTTCCGCCAATTGCTGCATTCGCGCCCCGTCCATAGCCAAGTCTTCCCCAGGCTCTGAATATCACCGAGCCAATGGGGGAGGGGGGATAGCAAATGTCTTCTGGGCCCTGATTGGGGGACCCATTATATAGCCCTGTATATTCCTGGGTGGAGAGAGGAGGAGAGGGGGGGACAGCGCGAGAGCCATCCCACTCCGCGACGCGACTAGAGGGCACGTGGAGTTAAGGGGGGAGACACACCCTTCCATCTCAGCCAGGACGCCACACCTACGCGGGAATCGGCTCGCTTTCCCTAACGCCTGGGCTGGGGAGGAGGATGGCACTTAGGAAGGAGGAAGTCGGAGGAAAGTCCCCAAGGGGAAGGGAGAAACGCGAATGAGGGAGGCAGTGAGTGGGGCAGCGGCAGGAGCTTCCGTTGAGACTAGCTGGAGTGTCATTTTCCAGGTGCCTTTCTCAGTCTCTGTCTCGTTTCCTATCTTATCTGAAGCTCATACACCTCTTTCAGATTCTTAATAAAAGAGGCCCAAGGTCTTTCAAATTATTCTCACCTTTAAGAATGTAAGAAAAGCCCTGCTGCATCGGACCAAGAACCTATTTAGTGCAGCACCCTGATTTCTCAGTGGCCAACAGATACTTATGGGAAGCCTGCCTGCCTGCAGGACCTGAGCACAACAGCACATCTCCCCATTTGTGATTGCCATTGACTGGTATTCAGAGGCATACTGCCCTCCACAGTGGAGGGAGAACAAAGCCATTATGGCTAGGAGTAGCATCCATTGACACCTTTATCATTTTTGAAAGGTGCTGGTGGCCGTCACATTTAGTGGGAGCAAATTCCATATCATACCTGTGTGCTGTGTGAAAACATACTGTATTTTTCTGGGTATAAGACAGTATCCCCCCCTAATTTTTTGTGGTTAAAATTGGGGGTCATTTTATACATGGATGGTGAATGCACAGGGGTTAAAAAACAAACAAACACTACTTATCTTCCTGCAGGATCCATCCAACCCTGTCGGATGAAAAAGTGGATGAGTTTGTGCCCTTGAAGAACACATTTTAGGGATGCTTAACCACACCACATCACCAGGCAGTCAGGAGGAGGCCCTTCTTGGCACACTGACTGTAAGTGATGATTAAACCCACCCATCCACCCACCCATTTTAACCTAACTTACAGGCAGGGCCAGGACAACAGCCTTGCCTCTGTTCTAGGCTCTCTTCCACCCTCAGCCGACTCATCAGCACTTGCTTGCCTCTGGCACTCTGCTGACGGTGCTAGACCACTTGAAGGGGCGCTGTCACTCATGCATAGTCTTGTGTTAATAACAAAAGACAAGGCTGCTGGATCAGGCCAAGGGCCTGTCTAACCCAGCATCCTGTTCTTACCAGCAAGACGCCTGTGGGAAACCCTCAAGCAGAACACAAGCTCAAAGGCACTCTCTCCTCATGAGGGTTCTAGCCACTGGTATTGAGAAGCACTGGAGGCAGAGCAAAGCCACTGTGGCTAGTTGCCATTAATAGACCTCTCATCCATGAATTTGCCTAATCCTCTTTTAAAGCCAACCAAGTTGGTGATAGGGACGCTGGTGGCGCTGTGGGTTAAACCACAGAGCCTAGGACTTGCTGATCAGAAGGTCGGCGGTTCAAATCCCCGCGACGGGGTGAGCTCCCGTTGCTCAGTCTCAGCTCCTGCCCACCTAGCAGTTCGAAAGCACATCAAAGTGCAAGTAGATAAATAGGTACCGCTCTGGCAGGAAGGTAAATGGTGTTTCCGTTTGCCAGAAGCGGCTTAGTCATGCTGGCCACATGACCCGGAAGCCGTACGCCGGCTCCCTCGGCCAATAAAGCGAGATGAGTGCCACAACCCCAGAGTTGTCTGCGACTGGACCTAATGGTCAGGGGTCCCTTTACCTTTACATTGGTGATGCTCACTGCCTCCTGGGGGAGCAAGTTCCAAAGTTTAATTGAGTAAAAAACTGAGTAAAAAATTACTTTCTTTTTTCTGCCTTGAATTCTCCAGCATTCAACTTCATTGAATGTCCACAAGTTCTAATGTGAATGACAGAGGGAGAAATACATTTTTCTCTTCACATTCTCCTTGCCATACATAATTTTATAAACTTCTGTCATGTCATCTTTTACCCACAGTGCCACCCCTTGGACTGGATGTAAGTATGAAGGCAGGTAAGCAGGAAGATGAGAGCTAGGTAAAATTATACAGAGGTTGGTGGAGTCATACCTCATTTGCCCTAATGGACCAGCCTTCTGGTAGAACAACAGCTTCAGCAAGGTGACTGAGCAGAAAGGCCAAAGCTTCAGCAACAGGGAAAAGGAAAATTTTTTGAATTGCTGACCTTTCATTGCAGTGGGTGGAAGATCTAGCCCAGATCCATCCTCTAGCATGCACAAAAATCCCAGAGCTTGAGACAAATGAAGACCAGAAGACTTCTCAGAGGGAGAATTTGAAAGCTGTTGCTCTCTCAGATCCACAGTCATGAAAGCTGACAGTTCTTGGATTTAGCACTTAAAGTTAAGAACTAGACATTCTGTCCAGACTGATTCCTCAGTAAGTGGATGTCTTTGACTTGAAGAAGGCATAGCAGGAAACGGTTTTTCACATATACACAGCTGGAATTGAGTAATCCCTCTGGCTCATTTATGCAAAGGTCATAAATTTTTCTAATTCGCTCTTAAAGTCATCCAAGTTGGTGGCCATTACTATCTCTTGTGGTAGTGAATGTCAGGTTTTCATTGCATTTTCCATCTAGTGTCAATAGAGTGCTAATTTCATGAGCGTCTTACCTCAAAACACCACCCAAAGCTATCCCATTGGGAATGGAGATTAGAATCCACCCTACTTGGATGACTAAAATAATCAAGGGGGTGGAGTGACTTTCCTATAAAAAAGGTTGGCAGTGGTTGGGACTTTTTAGTTTAGAGATAAAGCAAACAAGAGGTGAACATTTAGTCTCTTAAATAACTACTATGAATGGAAGTCATGCCAAAATTCATTGTGCCCAGCTAAACGTGTTGCAAATCTTAGCACATATTTTTCAGCACACGAAAACAGGGTGTTCGTGTTTACTATAGCTATCCTGCCACTCTTTTGGCCCTCATTCTCATTCCCCTTGGTACACCTGCTGTACTAACATAAGAACAACCCTGCTGGATCAGGCCAAAGGCCGAACTGGTCCAGTATCATGTTCTCACAGTAGCCGCCTACATACTATTGGGAAAACCAAAATCAGTACCTGAGTGAAACAAAAACACTCCCCATTTGTCATCCCCAGCAACTGGTATTCAGAGACATGCTGCCTCTGACAGTAGAGGGAGTCATTAAAAGCCTTATCCATTGTCTTCCTTTTTGTAAATAGAACATTTCAGTAAATTTTGGCAAATTATCATACTTTGTTAAAGCACTCTTGTTCAGCTGGAACCACATGGGCATACACTTTAACTGTTATCAACATTTTAGCTGCAGTTAACATAATGCCTACAAAATCATGATGGTCTGGTTGGACATCTCTCTCTCTTTCTTTAGAGATAATTCAAAGAATTTGTAAGACATTCATTGGTATGTGATATCCAATCCATTTTCTGTATGAATGCAGTATTTCCTCCACCCTCGCAATTTTTGGTTTACCATATTTGGATGGAATCCATCACACTCTTTCCACATTTCCTGCATCAATTATTCTGTGATACATTTTTGGCAAACGGAGTGAGGTCACATACCTACTCTATGACTTTTTAAAAAGTTATATTTACTCCAGTAGATAGGGCCACATTAGTGGAAAATATATCTCCATTCCCTGCCCCATTTTATTTGTTTCTAATGTTTTCTGTCATCTCTTTTACAATTAATTCCCATTCTATGTAATCATCTTTGTTAACTATCAAAATGTGATAAGAGATACCAGTTGCTCCATGTGTGACAAACTTTTTAAATGATGACAGTTCCCATGTAGAAAACACTGTCCTTGTACTTGTACTGAGCCCAATCACTGGTCCATTTTGAAGTTCTGGAAAAGGAGAATGAGTAACAGGAACTAGGTAGGCTTGCTTTTAAATGCCAACCAGATCAAATTTATCCCCAGATTTCTACAGATTTTCACAACTCTCCCATTTTTCTACTCTAACTGTATATCAGGCATGGGGAACAGGTGACCTTCCAGATGATGCTGAATTCCAACCCCCATTAATCCCAGAAAGCATGGCCGGTAGTTTAGGATGGTGGAAATTGTAGCTCAGCAACATCCAGAGAGCCACAAATTATTTACATTGTTGTTGGTTCATGTGCCATTATGACACATTGCATCCTGGGATGATCTCTAAAAATCCACAGTTTTGGAGCCAGAACTCCTATAGGCAGAATTCCTTTCATCAGACACTTTTGCTGGAAAAAGAGGGGCAGGTGATTCTTGTCAATTTTGTCTTCTTCCTTTGGTGCTGTGTGCGCCTTGATCAGCAGTTCAAGCACCAGTGGAATTTTCAGTCTCCACTCACAGATAAACAGCAGAGAGGCTCTTACAGAATTCTGCGTATGTGCCTGCTCTTGCACCTATGTGCACAGTCACATTAAACTTGAATGTGCATCCTTATCTAAAAAAGGACAACACAAAGAATCCATTTAGAATCCATCTGTTCTTCCTGCGCCCAAAAACTTGAAATGGTCAAATGTGCAAGCATGCACGTCTTTCCTTCAATGTACTTTCTCTGTGCATAGTATTATGAATTTGACATCCCAGCTACCTACAGTACAGAACATGCAGTAAAGTTTTATTCTATTTCACTGTGAACCTGGAACAAATCTTGTGGCAGCATCAACAAGCAAAAAATGTGGAAGGGTGAATTCCATTCAAGTGAGTGTGTGTGTGAGAGAAATCTGTATATATAATGAGCTGGTGGCATATGCTTGAAAAAGAAGCATAATATGGCCTCTAGGTGTGCTGCTTGCAGGTCACTAATAATAATAATAATAATAATAATAATAATAATAATAATTTATTATTTATACTCTGACCATCTGGCTG